TTATGTATGTGTGGTGTACTAGCGTGTGAATGCAGGTTTATATATGTGTGGTGTACTAGCGTGTGAATGCAGGGTTATGTGTGGTGTACTAGCGTGTGAATGCAGGGTTATGTGTGGTGTACTAGCGTGTGAATGCAGGGTTATATATGTATGGTGTACTAGCGTGTGAATGCAGGGTTATATATGTGTGGTGTACTAGCGTGTGTATGCAGGGTTATATATGTGTGGTGTACTAGCGTGTGAATGCAGGGTTATGTATGTGTGGTGTACTAGCGTGTGAATGCAGGGTTATATATGTGTGGTGTACTAGTGTGTGAATGCAGGGTTATGTATGTGTGGTGTACTAGCGTGTGAATGCAGGGTTATCTATGTGTGGTGTACTAGCGTGTGAATGCAGGGTTATATATGTGTGGTGTACTAGCGTGTGAATGCAGGGTTATATATGTGTGGTGTACTAGCGTGTGAATGCAGGGTTATGTATGTGTGGTGTACTAGCGTGTGAATTCAGGGTTATATATGTGTGGTGTACTAGCGTGTGAATGCAGGGTTATATATGTGTGGTGTACTAGCGTGTGAATGCAGGGTTATATATGAACATCTGCATTCACACACTGTTTCTCAGTGCAGATACACCCATCGTTCACACACAGCTAGCTGTTCATTATGTATATTTGCTGTTTGTATATAGGCTGCATTTTTACCATTTAATATAGCTGAGGAGCTCTGTGACACATTCATGCACACTGCATATAGGTGTGATTTTGTATTTGTTATGGAGCTCTGTGATGTACCCATACAGACTTATTATTATGAGTTTTATTGTTGTGGAGCTCTGAAACACAAATACACACAGCACATTGGTGTCAGCTATAGTGTTGTAGAGCTCTGTGATGCACTCATGTAATATTACTATTTATTGTTGTGGAGCTCTGTGATACACTCATCCATACTGCACATTACTGTGAATTTTATTGCTGTGGAGCTCTGTGATACACTCATACTCACGGTACATTACTGTGAGTTTTAGTGCTGTGGAGCTCTGTGATACCCTCATACACACTGCCCATTAGTGTGAGTTTTATTGCTGTGGAGCTCTGTGATACACTCATACATACTGCACATTATTGCGAGTTTTATTGCTGCGGAGCTCTGTGATCTCTTATACACACTGCACATTATCATTGAGCTCTGTGATATCCTCATAAACACTTCATGTTACTGTGAGTTTTATTGCTGTGGAGCTCTGTGATACATTCATGTACACTGCATATTACTTTGGAGCTCTGTGAAACACTTGTGCATACTACACATTATTGTGAGATTTATTGCTGTGGAGCTCTGTAATACATTGATACACACTGCACATTACAATGGAGCTCTGTGATACACTCATACATTCTGCACACTACTGTGAATTTTATAATTGTGGAGCTCTGTGATACACTAATACATTACTGTGAACTATAATGATGTGGAGCTCTGTGATACACTCATATAGACTGCACATTAGTGAATTTTTAACTGTTGTGGAGCTCTGTGATGAGCTACACACAACTGACGCCAGTTGTATATGGTATATATATGGTATATAATAAATGAAATAATAGTGCTTTGCTCATCCTAATCTAATGCAATTAACCCATGCTGTGGATCTCACCTGACTGTGTATGATGGGAGTTACAGTCCAGAGCACTGGCACTTCCTAACCCTAGATAATCCCTTAGTAATACTCCGCTCTGAATGGCGCTATAATGATACTGTGCTACTACCAATGCAGCACCATCACAGTGCCGCTCACACAGCGCTCAGCGTTATCACAGCACCGTTATTAAAGACACCGTCCTGTAAACCAGTGGATCCCAGTTCTCATGGGCCACCAACAGTCCAGGATTTATGTATTTCCCTGTTTTATTCCAATGGAGATCCTGACAAAACCTGGAATGTTGGTGGGTCTCGAGGACCGGTCTGGAAAACACGCAGTGAGCCAGACGTTCAATGGACATGAGCACCGGGACACCGATTCATCATCATCTCCCTCAACATCATCAATGAAGCCAGGTCTACCCTTCCTGTCTATTCTCCATCAACCATTGCTTGCCATTGTCTCTTCTCTGCAGAACTACAGCCCCCAGAATTCCTGTGCAGGATCACGTTTCCCATGGGGTCAGGCAGTGGGTGGGTGGGGTTTGATATGAAGGCTGCTGTGTGTGTTATTGTGATATCTGACAGCCTGCTCCTTCCTGCCAGCAAAATGTAGAGGCATCTTCACCCCTCCTCTCCCCTCCCGAGCCGTACAGCAGCAGCAGCCCTGATCCCGCCCAGCCCCTCTGCCTGTTTTTCCCTGTCATTCTCCCACAGCAGCGGTCACACTGCAAGCAATGAGCATCCACAGCTGACAGTCTCCTAGGCGTTTCCAGCTGCCTCTCAGGAAACCACGGATAATCTTCCAAATTGGCCAATGACACCCACTGGCTGAAACATTTATTTATTTCATTTTGTAATCGTCCCCTGCTTTTGTTGTGAATGGTTTTTGGGGGGGACGCATTGGGGGTCTCAGGAGAAGGTACATTACGGAGAAATGAAAGAATAGTCATTTCCACGGAACCCATGGAACAATGTGCAATGGGCATCCAGCTGCCAGGGACTCATGGCTGTTAAATCCTTCTGCTCAGCAAAGAAAAGGTGAGGTGGAGGAGGAATACACCAGAGAGGTCTATCTCCATGCATCGATGAATTAGACGATTGGAGATATTGGCCCTACGTGTCTGGTTCTAGGTGTGCTGCTTGGAATAAACAAGAGCATCAGACACAGGAAGGGAGGGGGACAAAATGGGCAGTAAACCCAAGAGCAGCGAGGCGCTGAAGGTGGTGGTTCGATGCCGCCCCATCAATAGGAAAGAGGAGGCAGCTGGGTATGACAGCATTGTGTCTATGGATGTTAAGCTGGGGCAGGTGACCATCCGGCATCCCAGAGCAAATCCAGTGGAACTGCCAAAGACGTTCACATTTGACGCTGTGTATGATGCCAACTCCAAACAGGCTGATTTGTATGACGAGACGGTCAGGCCCCTTATAGATTCTGTCTTGCAAGGGTTTAACGGCACCTTATTTGCTTATGGGCAAACTGGCACAGGGAAGACCTACACAATGCAAGGTGTTTGGGCCGAGCAAGAGAAAAGGGGGGTCATACCATATGCCTTTGACCATATTTTCACTCATATATCACGGTCCCAAAACCAACAGTATTTGGTGAGGGCATCTTACCTTGAGATCTACCAAGAAGAGATAAGAGACCTCCTGAGCAGGGATCAGAATAAGAAGCTAGAACTCAAAGAGAATCCCGAAACTGGAGTTTACATCAAAGACCTCTCTTCATTTGTGACCAAGAATGTGAAGGAGATCGAGCATGTGATGAACCTGGGTAATCAGTCTCGGTCAGTGGCCTGTACCAACATGAATGAGCACAGTTCTAGGTCCCACACAATTTTTGTCATCACAATAGAATGCAGTGAACTAGGTGTGGATGGAGAGGAACATATCCGAGTGGGGAAACTCAACCTGGTGGACCTGGCTGGCAGCGAGCGACAGAGCAAAACAGTAGTGAATGGTGAAAGGCCAAAAGAAGCTTCCAAAATCAATCTTTCCCTTTCCGCTTTGGGAAATGTGATATCAGCCCTGGTAGATGGCAGGAGCACCCACATTCCTTACCGAGACTCTAAACTGACCCGCTTGCTCCAGGACTCTCTGGGTGGTAATGCCAAAACCATAATGGTTGCCACTATGGGCCCTGCATCTCATCATTATGATGAGACCTTGTCTACTCTCAGGTTTGCCAACAGGGCCAAAAACATTAAGAACAAGCCAAGAATCAATGAGGACCCCAAGGATACTCTGTTGCGGGAGTTCCAGGAAGAAATTGCTAGACTGAAGGCACAACTGGAGAAAAGAGGGATGCTGAGCAAGAAGAAGAGAAGAAACAGCCGCAGGAAAAAATCAGTAGATGGAGAAAGTATCATGGACACAGAGGTGGAAGAAGACAATGATGAGAACTTAATTGATAAAAATGTGGGGTGTTACCTGAAAGAGCAAACTGAAAGGCTTGAACAGGAGAAGGCCGCCATACAAGATGACCACAGTTTACTGGCGGATGAGAAGTTAAAGCTTATTGAGGAGAAAGAGAAGATGATGGAGGACCTATCTAAAGAGCGAAAAGCCACAGAGCTGTTAGCCGTGAAATTCAAGGTAAGATCCTCTAGTTTCATTGAGACTGGTTATATTTGCTCATTTTTATTATTATTATAATTGCCATTTATATAGCACCAACAGATTATGTAGCGCTTTACAATATTATAAGCGGGAGGAATTTAACTATAAATAGGACAAATACAAAAAAACTTTCAGGAACGATAGGTTGAAGAGGACCGGCTCAAACAAGCTTATAGTCTACGGGTCCCAGGTAGGTTCTACTCTAAGACCTAACTGCACTTCAGACAAGAAGCATTTGGAAGAGCCCTCTTCAGTGAAATTTATGTTGTTTAAAATAGGTTGTGTTGTCATATAATGTACAATAATATTGTGTTTGATGGTTCCATAAGTAGGTCCCCCTGACTGATGCAAGCATTGACACAGCCACCAGGTATAAGCAGAATTAATTCCCGATGGATCAGTGAGATCAGTTACTGATGAGTGTGTGTGATCCAGTCTCACCCAATATCTGCTCCCATCCATGGCAATCCTTTCTGGGCTCGTTAGACAGTTTCTGTTTAGTTCTTTTTAAGGGATTACTCTCCCGGGATTAAAGGGTTAAAGTAAATAAAATGGCAAGAGACCTTGGTGGTAAACTTCTGGGACCTGGACACCGGACTAAGTACTAACTCTGTGTCTTGTGTAACCTCTTCCTATGACTCCCAGTCGGGGCAAGCCACCTGTCAGGAAGGGGTTAACACCAAGATACTTGGTAGTAAACTGCTAGCAGCATGTTTAAGGGTTAACATCACTGTCTGCTGACCAATCACAGTACTGTTTAGTATAGAAAGACTCCAACAGGTTACAGTAGGCCATCGTTTTGTGTCCCTTTAAATCAGCCGTGCTCAGGGACGAATCTCAGCTCTGTGTAAACTCTAAACTACAATTTAACATTTTTAGCATAATCATTAACATTCTAAATAATGCTCGTTCTGTCTGTCTATCCGTCTATCTGCCCATTCGTCTCTACTTCTTTGTATCCATCACAGACTTCCGCTTACGGGGTTAATAACTTCACTGTAAATTGTGTTTAAATTGAGTTAACGTGTGCTTGGACGTTTTAATTCTAAATAATAGGAAAACAACAAAAATTCTCCCAAATAAGATATTTTTCCAACGTAACTACTTGGCCCTAATATTTTCAGTTATCTGTTTAGTGAATAAACCCAATCTATTTTTGTCTCTCTCTGTATTTCTTCCTAAATCTATTTCTCTTTATCTAATCCCTTTACACTCAGCACTGCACGCTATTCTGTGATTCTCATACATAATAAATACATGTATGTTGTCATCGGAGGCCACACATTCACTGTACCAAATGGTACCAAATTAGAATAAAAGCTATCAGATTCTTCATCGCAGCAGCTAGAATGGAGTGAAAATCAGGGAGGAATTATTTGACTGCACCTGGAAAATGTGGATGCTTTAAGTAGGGTTAGGCAACCTTTGGCCCTCCAGAAGTTGTGTACAGCATTATAGGAGATGTAGTCCGTAACATCATGTGTGATGATGAGTGCCTACCCCTCCTTTAGAAGATAAAATGTGTGTACATTGCTTGAGCCAGATTGTTGGAAAAATTATATTTCTACTTTAAGTTCTCCTCACAAGCTATACGATACTGGTATGTGGAGACATGGAGAGCCCGTATAAACATTCCAGTGGTTCCCAAGGTGACTGCTCTTCATTAATTTAATGATCAGGATTGTGTAAGTAGGAAAGTACCAAAGAGGTGAAGTTTGATGTTCCTCAGGGGTTGGACTAACTTGTGTGTGGCTATCTGCCTACAAGGAGTAAGTTAATCTGTACTTGGGACAGATTCCCCAGTCTGAAGTCTGTAGATGTTAGAACCAGTCTCATTGCCAGGTTGACTTCCAGATCGTGACAGAAGACTACAAAACAGATCAGTCAGGAGCTTCATCCTCTGTGGACATAACAGGGATGGGCCTAACAAGCTCTCAAATGTCAGGATGGACACATACGTGAGTGGTCACTCCCCTCTCATACACTGGTAATAAGGGACAAGCTAGGAGAGTAATCGACGAAGCTGTGTGAGGTACTCCAGTCTCCTCTAAGATTACTGCAGCACTGGATAAGAATGGATATAATTGTTGTTTTTCTACAGTGTTGGGTTAAAGGCTATAAAACCCCCAAAATATACTAGTTTTAAAATGTAACCTTTCTATAATGGCCAGCAGTCACAGATCTAGGGGGTCAATCCTAATTTGTAGACCTAACTCACAGTTCTGGGTATATTTCTCCAGAATCCCATTTCTGACCCCCCTCCAAGAATCGCCTTGAATAATAGTAGTGTAAACATGCTATTAAAGGCACACGGGCTATGACATTTTGGGTTATTTCTTCCCTTGAGAGAGTCCTTCTGCTGCGCTCTGAGACATTTGTGGTGGTTTGGAGACTCACAGCCACACATTAAGTGAAAATGTCTAACACAAGATTACTGCGTTACTATGTCAGTGCTGTTATCCATAATAGAGCAGTGGACCCATGCAACAAGCCTACATTACTACAGTGAGATTACAGGGGCTTTGCAATAATCTTTGGGGGTCTATGGTGCTAAGTAGGGTAATGTAAGATTTCGGGTTTGGGTAACTGCCTTCAAGATGCTGCGGCCAGCCTAAGAGTGAAAGGAGCTACAATCTATAGCGTCTTTCAGCCCTTAATCCCGACAAGCCCTATCTCTGTAAAATGCTCAGTATTCAAAATGCAATGTTTATACAGGATCCCGGGTTAGAGCTTGGAAACTCTTATATAGAAGAAATGTCCTGTAATACTGAGTGCTTAAAGTCACTGTAGCGGAATAGGGGACCCAACTACACTTTTATTCCCTTTGTTCGTTTGTCTGTACACCCGGGTTCGTTTACCGAACCCCCTCTCTGTGTGGCCTCTTGTTTGCATCTTTTAATCACCGACCACCCCTGGCTGTTAACCACAAATTGGTAATTAGTTCAAGTGTTTTCCCTGTGTGGCCGCTGTTTGTATGACCAAACGCATGTGTTCAAACAATTGGTGGTCATTTTTTCTCCCAAACACGGGCAGCAGTTCATGGTCGTCGACAGCGTGGAACTGTTTTCGGACATGAACTACCGAACAGGGGGAGCATTTGCTACCTAACAGCCATTGGTGTTCACGTGAGAACCCCCGAAAGATGACCGGTTGTTGTCTTGTTTCTCTTGAACTGTTTTGGGGCATTACTTTGTGGTCGACCGGTCAAAACGTCATTCGAATGGCGTTCCCGAACCAACAAAGGGATCAGAGTGATATTTCGGCAAAATGTGCACTCAGATTAAAGCTATTTGGTGACATGACTTTCGTGGGGTTCCAAAGTTATTAGGGTGTTTTAGAATATTGTATATTTTTCTGTACCTGAGAGATAATTGAGTTATAGTCAAGCAATTAGCTCTCAGGCACAGAGGATCCTGTATTTTCAATATGGAGACCCCATGTAGGGGTTTGTGCATAAAAGCCATGTGTGGCCAAAATAAAATCAGTTGACTCCCAGAACTATGTGTCATCTAGTTGGGGGGCGGGGGAGGTCTTGGATTATTATACTGCTTATTTCAGCTACAAGGAAGGTATAGTGGAGATACCTATGCTGACTTAAAACAGAAGACATCAGTAAAGCTAGAAAACACAGAGGCGTTCATCAAAATCTATAGAGATGTAGGATTTGTCCTGTCACACGCCAGCCAGGTCTTGGCACAGTGAGCTCAACTGTGGATATAGGTCTTTACACAAATAATTCAGAGAGATCCAGAGAGCTCTCCTATCATTGTTTCATCGGCTTTGATCCATTTGGTGGGAGCTTCTCATACACTGACAAAGGGATACAGGAATGAAATCCATGGAATGGGGGGAGATACAGGTTGGAGCAGGGGCTGAGCCATATTTAGGTCCTTCTTACTATTTAACCCCGGAATAATGGGCCCCCAATCTCACGCCGTATATACATCTGCTGGCCATTTCACAAACTTGATAAAAGGCCCTGCATTCGTGTAACACAATAAATGAGCAGCTACGCACTGGGGTGGGGGGGACAGGTGGAGTCATATCTAAATTACATTATAAATTTATTTATCATTTATCTGTGCGTTGTAGTTATAGTGAATCTGTCATGGCAAGCTCACTTTAATGCATCCCATTCATTCTGGACTATTCTAGAGTGCAGCTTCTGTCTATACCCACTATATGCATACACACATACACTTACCCACCCCGACACTTACCCATCTCTGTGGGCAAACTCAGGGGTGGGCCCTAACCGTGATTCCCAAAATGTCTGATGGCAGTCCTGCTACAGCATTTCTGGAAAAAAAGGAAATAGCATTGGGGTTATAATCAGGACTTGGAAGGTGAACGTAAATCAGAGAAAGTCGTCCATCCTCCACTCAAGGTGCACTTTGAAAAGATCTCTCAAACCATTTCTGTTTGTTTGAATTTTTTCCAGATATCGGTCAGCATAGATTATCCTCATTATTCTAATTTGCAATAGATAAGGGGTGTCCAGTCCCCACTGTTGTTAGAAGACCTTTACTTTATCTGCTATAAAAAGTCTGAGTAAAGAATTTACAAATCCATTATTAATTAGAGTCAGTTTGTATACAAGTAAATCCGATGTTTGTACTAAATTCTAGATAAATGCCCTTTACTTTGAATGTCAGAATTCCAAAGATACACCAGTTAGTGTCGCCCGATCTCACAGTTTGGAGATTTCTCATTCAGCAGGAATTCTGTGCTCAATCTGAGGGTTCATTAGCACAGATTACTAAACGGCCGTGAAATCCTCCCATCTCCCCAGGGATGGAACAAGCTTAGTCAAGAGAACCATTGTCCGAGATAACCCAACAACATGCTCTGTAGATTGCAATCTCCTACACACAGGGAATACAGTGACTGTAAGCTCTTTAGATCAGTGCCTGCTGCTTGTTTCTGTAGAACAATATCCTGTGAGCTGACTAACTCATTGTTTTGTCATTCAATCCTGTCCCTTTTGTCTACAAAGACCGTGACATTATGCCTTAGGCCATGTTCTCCCTTTCTAAATGCATCACAGGGTCTTCCTTACAAATGAGTGAGTGTGCAGATCATATAGTGTGGGTTATAGGAGGTATGGGGGCCTGCAGTGAGCATGCTGCTCAGGTAGTGTGGGTTATAGGAGGTGTGGGGGGCTGCAGTGAGGGTGCTGCTCGGGTAGTGTGGGTTATAGGAGGTGTGGGGAGCTGCAGTGAGCATGCTGCTCAGGTAGTGTGTGTTATAGGAGGTGTGGGGAGCTGCAGTGAGGGTGCTGCTCAGGTAGTGTGGGTTATAGGAGGTGTGGGGAGCTGCAGTGAGGGTGCTGCTCAGGTAGTATGGGTTATAGGAAGTGTGAGGAGCTGCAGTGAGGGTGCTGCTCAGATAGTGTGGGTTATAGGAGGTGTGGGGAGCTGCAGTGAGGGTGCTGCTCAGGTAGTATGGGTTATAGGAGGTGTGGGGAGCTGCAGTGAGCATGCTGCTCAGGTAGTGTGGGTTATAGGAGGTGTGGGGAGCTGCAGTGAGGGTGCTGCTCAGGTAGTATGGGTTATAGGAGGTGTGGGGAGCTGCAGTGAGCATGCTGCTCAGGTAGTGTGGGTTATAGGAGGTGTGGGGAGCTGCAGTGAGGTGCTGCTCAGGTAGTATGGGTTATAGGAGGGTGGAGCTGCAGTGGCGTGCTGCTCAGGTAGTGTGGGTTATAGGAGGTGTGGGGGCTGCGGTGAGCATGCTGCTCAGGTAGTGTGATTTATGGGGTGTGAGGGGCTGCAGTGGGGTTGCTGCTCAGGTGGTGTGGTTATAGGAGGTGTGGGGCTGCAGTGAGGGGTGCTGCAGGTGGTGTCAGTGTTATGGGAGGTGTGAGGCTGCAGTGAGCATGCTGCTCAGGTAGTGTGGGTTAGGAGGTGTTGCAGTGAGTGTGCTGCTCAGGTAGTGTGTATTATAGGAGGTGTGGGGAGCTGCAGTGAGTGTGCTGCTCAGGTAGTGTGTGTTATAGGAGGTGTGGGGAGCTGAAGTGAGCGTGCTGCTCAGGTAGTGTGTGTTATAGGAGGTGTGGGGAGCTGCAGTGAGTGTGCTGCTCAGGTAGTGTGTGTTATAGGAGGTTTGGGGGGCTGCAGTGAGGGTACTGCTCGGGTAGTGTGTTATAGGAGGTGTGGGGAGCTGCAGTGAGCATGCTGCTCAGGTAGTGAGTGTTATAGGAAGTGTGGGGAGCTGCAGTGAGGGTGCTGCTCAGGTAGTGTGGGTTATAGGAGGTGTGGGGAGCTGCAGCGAGGGTGCTGCTCAGGTAGTGTGTGTTATAGGAGGTGTGGGAGCTGCAGTGAGGGTGCTGCTCAGGCAGTGTGTGTTATAGGAGGTGTGGGGAGCTGCAGTGAGCATGCTGCTCAGGTAGTGTGGGTTATAGGAGGTGTGGGGAGCTGCAGTGAGGGTGCTGCTCAGATAGTGTGGATTATAGGAGGTGTGGGGAGCTGCAGTGGTTGTGCTGCTCAGGTAGTGTGTGTTAAAGGGGGTGTGGGGAGCTGCAGTGAGTGTGTTGCTCAGGTAGTGTGCTATAGTAGGTGTGGGAGCTGCGGTGGGGTGCTGCTCGGGTGGTTAGTGTGGTTATAGGAGGTGTGGGAGCTGCAGGTGCTGCTCAGGTAGTGTGTGTTATAGGAGGTGTGGGAGCTGCAGTGGGGTGCTACTCAGGTAGTGTGTGTTATAGGAGGGTGTGGGGGCTGCAGTGAGCATGCTGCTCAGAGTAGTGTGGGTTATGGGAGGTGTGGGGAGCTGCAGTGAGGGTGCTGCTCAGGTAGTGTGGGTTATAGGAGGTGTGGGAGCTGCAGTGAGGGTGCTGCTCAGGTAGTGTGTGTTATAGGAGGTGTGGGAGCTGCAGTGAGGGTGCTGCTCAGGTAGTGTGAGTTATAGGAGGTGTGGGGGGCTGCAGTAAGCGTGTTGCTCAGGAAGTGTGGGTTATAGGAGGTGTGGGAGCTGCAGTGAGGGTGCTGCTCAGGTAGTGTGTGTTATAGGAGGTGTGGGGGGCTGCAGTAAGCATGCTGCTCTGGTAGTGAGTGTTAAAGGAGGTGTGGGGAGCTGCGGTGAGCATGCTTTTTCTGTTAGGTTTTAGAAGAGATGATTGCTAATGATTCCAAACGTCTGTTTTGGCATCTACAAGTCTAAGAAACCTTTGCTCTGAGCAGAAATGAAGTTGTTCACAGAGAGCGTTGAAATCTGTCACATAGTTGCTGTAAATATAAGCCTAAATAAAGTTGAAATAATAATTTAAAAAAGACATTAAGTGATACTTTTTTTCCATCCTTTATGATTTTGGATTGGTAGGTTTCACATATATTTGTATCTTCATTATCTACACAATGTATAAATATTCCATGAATGTCTGACATCACATGTCCCTCACGTTTTCTCGTATCATTAACTCATTGTCTGCCAGACAGACCCCATGTTTGTATCCTCCATTATAAAATCAGTAAGTCAATTACAGCTCCCCAAAAAACTACACAAAAACACATTAAAGAGACACTGATGGCATTGTAACTGCTTTATCTCACTGAAGTGGTTATACTGCCTGGAGTCCCCTGGTGCCGTCCTTCCATTCAACAATAAACCATTTTAATATTTTAATGCTAATCAAGAGTTCCCAGTCCCCTGCCCCTCTGTGCTGCTTGGTATTATGAGGAAGCATTAGCCTGATCAGCAATGGGTGACTGTGATTGTCAGCTGACCGCTCAAAAAGGGTTTAACACTGATTGGATGGACAGCACCAGGGGACTCCAGGCACTATAACCACTTCAATGAGATGGAATGGTTTAACACTGAATGGAGGGACAGCGCCAGGGGACTCCAGGCACTATAACCACTTCAATGAGATAGAATGGTTTAACACTGAATGGAGGGACAGGGCCAGGGAACTCCAGGCACTATAACCACTTCAATGAGATAGAATGGTTTAACACTGAATGGAGGGACAGCGTCAGGGGATTCCAGGCACTATAACCACTTCGATAAGATAGAATGGTTTAACACTGAATGGAGGGACAGCGTCAGGGGACTGCAGGCACTATAACCACTTCAATGAGATAGAATGGTTTAACACTGAATGGAGGGACAGCGTCAGGGGACTCCAGGCACTATAACCACTTCGATGAGATAGAATGGTTTAACACTGAATGGAGGGACAGCGTCAGGGGACTCCAGGCACTATAACCACTTCAATGAGATAGAATGGTTTAACACTGAATGGAGGGACAGCGCCAGGGGACTCCAGGCACTATAACCACTTCAATGAGATAGAATGGTTTAACACTGAATGGAGGGACAACGCCAGGGGACTCCAGGCACTATAACCACTTCAATGAGATGGAATGGTTTAACACTGAATGGAGGGACAGCGTCAGGGACTCCAGGCACTATAACCACTTCAATGAGATGGAATGGTTTAACACTGAATGGAGGGACAGCGCCAGGGGACTCCAGGCACTATAACCACTTCAATGAGATGGCTTACAGTGCCTGCAGTGCATCTTTGTAAATTATGGGGATAGTTTATGGCATTATGCGATGTCCTTTGTGTAGCACTATCACAATGAGAGCTATGCTGTCTCTCTATTGATGGCTGATGGCAGACAATGTCTGTTTATTGCTGCCCTATGTATTTTCTGCAAATCATGCTAGCTATTATTCTAGTTAAGGGTTAAGCCCAGACCATATGGGCAGATCATTACTTCTGGCTGCTGATTAGATAGAGGAAAGTACTCCCAGATGATGTGCAGTTATTTGCAAACAGCGTTGGTTCCGGTCTCAGGAATCTATTCCATTTCCATATGTGACATGTCCTGTGCGAAAACGGTGAGCTTCCTGTGTCACGTAATTTGTGTGTCCGTACAATACAAGTGTGCTTTCACTCCTGAAATAACATCCCATAATACATTATATATATAAATGGGATATATAAACGGTGACGTCACCATCTACCCTTCACGTTCCCTCTACTCCATGCTCTGTATCAGAGAGAGGGATACAATAACTTATCTCCTTAGCACGTAAATCGAAGCAGGTGGAAGAGGTCTGTGCCACTGGAGGTGCAGATCTCCCGGTCCCTCCCGCAGGACAGACGGACAATACATGCTGGACCTCCATACTATATGATTGGATGTAAAGCAAGGGGTTATGGCACTGAGTGGTGTATGAACATGTTTTGATAGATGTAGGTGCTCCGGTCCCAGGGAGCTGTGTTCAATACTGAGTTATCTATCCTAAACGATTGATTAATGTGTCCCATTGCGCATCCTGAACATTCGCATCTTTACTTGTGCTCAGCAGGGGTTAAATCAGACTGATACATGGTTAATAACAATAATAATAAACATTGAAACAAACATATAGATACATAATAATAAATAAGACACTGACTCAGAAATGTTGCAGAAAAGACCGTGGTCTTTTATTTAGTTTTAATATAATACAACCAACACTTAATAACTTTATAATCAAACCAACTCCGGTTTTTAAACCCCCAGAGCGTTCACCAAAAATCTCCGCTATTTAAAACCCCAGAGAATTACCAGAGTTCCGCCCTATTAGCCAGAACTTCAACCAAATGATCATAAACTCAGCTAGTCCACCCCCCTTTAACCCCTTCAGGACGGAGTCAATAGTGCACGTTCTGATCAAAACAAAACGTAAACAAAAACTGGAATTTGCGCTATATGTCTGTTCAACCGTAATTCACCGCTGTCACATTATATGCACCAACACTTATTATATATCATTTTATTCAGGAGAAACAGGGCTTTAATTTATCATTAACTATTCATATATGGAACATAATTTATTATGAATACAATTTAAAAAAATTTGAGAAATATTTGACCATTGTTTTGTGACTAAGTGGCTACTCAGAAAGACTGGACATACCCCACTTGCAATACCTTGGGTTGTCTACTTTTGCAAATGGTATGCCATCATGGGGGTAATTCTCATTCCTGGGCTACCATGAGCTCTCAAAGGCAACATAACCAACCTGGCAAATTTCAATTTCAATCAAAAAAATGAAATGCAAGCCTTATATGTGACTCTCTAATTTTCCAAAACACCATAAAACCTGTACATGGGGGTACTGTTATTCTCGGGAGACTTCACTAAACATAAATATTAGTGTTTTAAAACAGTAAAACATATTACAACAATAATATAGTGCATAAAAGTGCCGTTTGTTTGTAAAAAATGCAAAAAAACCTAACTTTTACTTAAAATATCATCGTTGTAATACAATTTACCAGTTTGAAACACTAATATTTGAGTTCAGCGAAGTCTCCCGAGTAAAACAGTACCCCCTATGTACAGCTTTTATGGTGTCTTGGAGAGTTACAGGGTCAAATATAGTGCTTGCGAATTAAATTCTCTGCACTTTCTCCCTGTGTTGTCAGGCATGTCAGTCAAATTTTAATTAATCAAATCACATAATTAGGTTAAAAGATTACTTAAATATACGCGTAGAATTTTAATATATATGCATTTATAGGTATTTAAATTCTACGTGTACACTAATATAATCTTTTATGTAATTATATGTATTTATCTATATATATATATTTGCGGTTATTTGTATTTTATATATAGATAGATATATATAGAATGTCATTCTAAGTGTATTTTGTTACCAATATATATATATTAATAAAAAAATATAGCTAGAATGAAATTACATATGAATATATAATTTATATTAAATTTTGTTTCAATATTTTATTTATTTTATTATTTTATGTATTTAATTGTAATTATACATATATATATATGTAACGTCATTCTAAGTGTATTTTAATACTAATATATGTACTTATATTAATATTAAAATACACTTTGTATGACGTTACATATATATAATATGTATATATATATATATATATATATTATATATATAATAGATATACATATATTATATATATAAATAAATTTCTATTTTATTTTAAACATTTTTAATTCTTTTTTTTTTTTTTTTACTTTCCCACCAGCAAGGGGACTGTCTGACATTTCAGACAGCCCCCTGCTGGAAGATCCACAGCCAGCTATAGGGGGCCATGTGATCGCTCTTTGAGAGCGATCACATGGCCCCCAGGGGCCTCATTTGCCGGGGGAGGGCTGCCCGGGCTGTCAGGCAGCCCTCCGAAAGAGGATCGCGGTGGAGGTAAGTCCATCGGACCTCCAGGGGCAGAAAGCCGTTACAGCGTTCTATGCCGCCGCAACGGCTTTAAAGCCCTTTTAATGCTGGACGGCATAGAACGCTGTAATGGCGTTAAGGGGTTAAATTAGGCAGGTGACCTCAACCCCAATAAAAGACCACGACAAATGCATAGGGAGGGAGGGAGAGCGGGGAAAACAGCTCCAGAAAGGGGTAAATCTTCTTTCTTCTGGCGCCAAGAACTTACCTCAGGGCGCCTTAAATACTTGCTTTTCCCGCCTAGGAGTACCCTCGCGGACAAGTACTCCAATCAGAGCACTGTCCGCACGGACCCCTGTTTGAAAAACGCACAAGGGCACAGCAACAGCTGTTGCTAAATGCCCTTGCAGTCAGTGCTATTCCCGACGCGATCTGACCCCTGATTAACCCAGCGACGCACATGTGTTACTAGTCTATGGACTAGGTACATTCTGATCATCGCCAGTTGCCACATTCTGGCTGTACTTTATTTGAAGAGAAGTTCATAGAATCAGTGTCTGAGCTTTTTTGTTCTCTGAGTGGAGTTTACGATAGAATTCTGAGAGAGGAGTCTGGAAACGTGGAATTATGTGATAAAATGTTTGGCTATTGAGTGATAACGATAGTCTAGCTCCTCAGGGGCGGTCTCAGCTCTCTAATCTCTGAATGCAGCACTGGGGATGTTCCTTCTGTGATCTGATTAGGTATCTCTCCAGGTTCTTTGGATACAATGACTTGGGTTATAAAGAGTATATTAAACGTATTAGAAAGCTAATGTATTAAACTTTTAGATCAGCTAACACTCTCATCCAATTAGATTTTTCAGCATCACAGGGATTAGCTCATGGCTTGGCTCGGGGGAGATAACGCAAATCTCTGTTTACTAGATTCGGAGCTTCCTGCATTAGTAGTGGAGACTGGGAGCGGTGCCCAGGAGATCTCTGGTCAAACTGTTCAAAAGCGCTTTGTTCTCTTCCAGCGGGGAGGGGGATGATGCTTGCAGTGTTGCTATAATAGTATGATTGCTGGACCCACAACGAGTGGATAGATGTCAAGTTTCATTTTGTGCTGCTCTGCCACGCTAAATTAAATTGAGGTGCCACCCCCAGCAGTGAGTGCGATAATATTGGGGTCCAATGAATCTGCGTCTAGTGTCTGAAACACAGCTACAAAATTAAGGCCACGCTATTAAACGTGGACAAAATGCCACCTTGGACACCCAACTCGTTTTACATTTTTTTGACCCACATTTGGCAAATTATTTTATTTTTTAACTCTCCACAATTCCCTGTTTAGTTAACTAAACCTTGAACAAGTGACCCCCAACTTTTTAAAGAACTAAATCTTCCACTGGCAAGGCATCATGGGAGTTGTAGTTCTATTTTGTAGCCAAGTCTACCATAGGCTATTCCTGAGCTCTGCCATCGGCCCGTGCTGGATCCCCTGAGCGTCTGCCCTACATCCGTCTCCTATGAGCTTATTAAGGGCCTGTCTGGGGATTTACCAGATAGAACAATCTGACATCTCCTGCAAAGCCTCATCTAGGGCCCTCCTGCAATGCATCCTGGGATATAAACGCTAACTACACTCCTAGCTGATGCAATATTATTCATTATTATTACATTTATTAATACAATTCTTAATGAATGAGCAGATTCTCTGAGTGAATGGACAGACACTGTATGTGAATGAGCAGATACTGTGAGTGAATGAGCAGATTCTCTGAGTGAATGGACAGACACTGTATGTGAATGAGCAGATGCTGTGAGTGAATGAGCAGATTCTCTGAGTGAATGGACCGACACTGTATGTGAATGAGCAGATGCTGTGAGTGAATGAGCAGATTCTCTGAGTGAATGGACAGACACTGTATGTGAATGAGCAGATGCTGTGAGTGAATGAGCAGATTCTCTGAGTGAATGGACAGACACTGCCCTCTCTGGGTTATAGTGTGTGAGAGTCGCTGCACACTGCCCTCTCTAGGTTATACAGTGTGTGAGAGTCGCTGCACACGTCCCTCTCTAGGTTATACAGTGTGTGAGAGTCGCTGCACACTGCCCTCTCTATGTTATACAGTGTGTGAGAGTCACTGCACACTGCCCTCTCTAGGTTATACAGTGTGTGAGAGTCGCTGCACACGTCCCTCTCTATGTTATACAGTGTGTGAGAGTCGCTGCACACTGCCCTTTCTAGGTTATACAGTGTGTGAGAGTCGCTGCACACTGCCCTCTCTAGGTTATACAGTGTGTGAGAGTCGCTGCACACTGCCCTTTCTAGGTTATACAGTGTGTGAGAGTCGCTGCACACTGCCCTCTCTAGGTTATACAGTGTGTGAGAGTCGCTGCACACTGCCCTCTCTAGGTTATACAGTGTGTGAGAGTTGCTGCACACTGCCCTCTCTAGGTTATACAGTGTGTAAGAGTCACTGCCCTCTCTAGGTTATACAGTGTGTGAGAGTCGCTACACACTGCGCTCTCTAGGTTATACAGTGTGTGTGAGTCACTGCACACGTCCCTCTCTAGGTTATACAGTGTGTGAGAGTGGCTGCACACCGCCCTCTCTAGGTTATACAGTGTGTGAGAGTCACTGCACACTGCCCTCTCTAGGTTATACAGTGTGTGAGAGTCGCTGCACACTGCCCTTTCTAGGTTATACAGTGTGTAAGAGTCACTGCCCTCTCTAGGTTATACAGTGTGTGAGAGTCGCTGCACACTGCGCTCTCTAGGTTATACAGTGTGTGTGAGTCACTGCACACGTCCCTCTCTAGGTTATACAGTGTGTGAGAGTGGCTGCACACCGCCCTCTCTAGGTTATACAGTGTGTGAGAATCACTGCACACTGCCCTCTCTAGGTTATACAGTTGTGAGAGTCACTGCACACTGCCCTCTCTAGGTTATACAGTGTGTGAGAGTCGCTGCACACTGCCCTCTCTAGGTTATACAGTGTGTGAGAGACGCTGCACACGTCCCTCTCTAGGTTATACAGTGTGTGAGAGTCGCTGCACACTGCCCTCTCTAGGTTATACAGTGTGTGAGAGTCGCTGCACACTGCCCTTTCTAGGTTATACAGTGTGTGAGAGTCGCTGCACACTGCCCTCTCTAGGTTATACAGTGTGTAAGAGTCACTGCCCTCTCTAGGTTATACAGTGTGTGAGAGTCGCTGCACACTGCGCTCTCTAGGTTATACAGTGTGTGTGAGTCACTGCACACGTCCCTCTCTAGGTTATACAGTGTGTGAGAGTGGCTGCACAGGGCCCTCTCTAGGTTATACAGTGTGTGAGAGTCACTGCACACTGCCCTCTCTAGGTTATACAGTTGTGAGAGTCACTGCACACCGCCCTCTCTAGGTTATACATTGTGTGATAGTCGCTGCACACTGCCCTCTCTAGGTTATACAGTGTGTGAGAGTCGCTGCACACTGCCCTCTCTAGGTTATACAGTGTGTGAGAGTCGCTGCACACGTCCCTCTCTAGGTTATACAGTGTGTGAGAGTCGCTGCACACTGCCCTCTCTAGGTTATACAGTGTGTGAGAGTCGCTGCACACGCCCTCTCTAGGTTATACAGTGTGTGAGAGTGCTGCACACGAGGTTATACAGTTCGCTGCACACTGCCCTCTCTAGGTTATACAGTGTGTAAGAGTCACTGCCCTCTCTAGGTTATACAGTGTGTGAGAGTCGCTGCACACTGCGCTCTCTAGGTTATACAGTGTGTGTGAGTCACTGCACACGTCCCTCTCTAGGTTATACAGTGTGTGAGAGTGGCTGCACACCGCCCTCTCTAGGTTATACAGTGTGTGAGAGTCACTGCACACTGCCCTCTCTAGGTTATACAGTTGTGAGAGTCACTGCACACTGCCCTCTCTAGGTTATACATTGTGTGAGAGTCGCTGCACACTGCCCTCTCTAGGTTATACAGTGTGTGAGAGTCGCTGCACACTGCCCTCTCTAGGTTATACAGTGTGTGAGAGACGCTGCACACGTCCCTCTCTAGGTTATACAGTGTGTGAGAGTCGCTGCACACTGCCCTCTCTAGGTTATACAGTGTGTGAGAGTCGCTGCACACGTCCCTCTCTAGGTTATACAGTGTGTGAGAGTCGCTGCACACTGCCCTCTCTAGGTTATACAGTGTGTGAGAGTCGCTGCACACTGCCCTCTCTATGTTATACAGTGTGTGAGAGTCACTGCACACTGCCCTCTCTAGGTTATACAGTGTGTGAGAGTCGCTGCACACGTCCCTCTCTAGGTTATACAGTGTGTGAGAGTCGCTGCACACTGCCCTTTCTAGGTTATACAGTGTGTGAGAGTCGCTGCACACTGCCCTCTCTAGGTTATACAGTGTGTGAGAGTCGCTGCACACTGCCCTTTCAAGGTTATACAGTGTGTGAGAGTCGCTGCACACTGCCCTCTCTAGGTTATACAGTGTGTAAGAGTCACTGCCCTCTCTAGGTTATACAGTGAGTGAGAGTCGCTGCACACTGCGCTCTCTAGGTTATACAGTGTGTGAGAGTCACTGCACACTGCCCTCTCTAGGTTATACAGTGTGTGAGAGTCGCTGCACACTGCCCTCTCTAGGTTATACAGTGTGTAAGAGTCACTGCCCTCTCTAGGTTATACAGTGTGTGAGAGTCGCTGCACACTGCGCTCTCTAGGTTATACAGTGTGTGTGAGTCACTGCACACGTCCCTCTCTAGGTTATACAGTGTGTGAGAGTTGCTGCACACCGCCCTCTCTAGGTTATACAGTGTGTGAGAGTCACTGCACACTGCCCTCTCTAGGTTATACAGTTGTGAGAGTCACTGCACACTGCCCTCTCTAGGTTATACATTGTGTGAGAGTCGCTGCACACTGCCCTCTCTAGGTTATACAGTGTGTGAGTCGCTGCACACGTCCCTCTCTAGGTTATACAGTGTGTGAGAGTCGCTGCACACGTCCCTCTCTAGGTTATACAGTGTGTGAGAGTCGCTGCACACTGCCCTCTCTAGGTTATACAGTGTGTGAGAGTCGCTGCACACTGCCCTCTCTAGGTTATACAGTGTGTGAGAGTCGCTGCACACTGCCCTCTCTATGTTATACAGTGTGTGAGAGTCACTGCACACTGCCCTCTCTAGGTTATACAGTGTGTGAGAGTCGCTGCACACGTCCCTCTCTAGGTTATACAGTGTGTGAGAGTCGCTGCACACGTCCCTCTCTAGGTTATACAGTGTGTGAGAGTCGCTGCACACGTCCCTTTCTAGGTTATACAGTGTGTGAGAGTCGCTGCACACGTCCCTCTCTAGGTTATACAGTGTGTGAGAGTCACTGCCCTCTCTAGGTTATACAGTGTGTGAGAGTCGCTGCACACTGCGCTCTCTAGGTTATACAGTGTGTGTGAGTCACTGCACACGTCCCTCTCTAGGTTATACAGTGTGTGAGAGTGGCTGCACACCGCCCTCTCTAGGTTATACAGTGTGTGAGAGTCACTGCACACTGCCCTCTCTAGGTTATACAGTTGTGAGAGTCACTGCACACTGCCCTCTCTAGGTTATACATTGTGTGAGAGTCGCTGCACACTGCCCTCTCTAGGTTATACAGTGTGTGAGAGTCGCTGCACACGTCCCTCTCTAGGTTATACAGTGTGTGAGAGTCGCTGCACACGCCCTTCTAGGTTATACAGTGTGTGAGAGTCGCTGCACACTGCCCTCTCTAGGTTATACAGTGTGTGAGAGTCGCTGCACACTGCCCTTTCTAGGTTATACAGTGTGTGAGAGTCGCTGCACACTGCCCTCTCTAGGTTATACAGTGTGTGAGAGTCGCTGCACACTGCCCTCTCTAGGTTATACAGTGTGTGAGAGTCGCTGCACACTGCCCTCTCTAGGTTATACAGTGTGTAAGAGTCACTGCCCTCTCTAGGTTATACAGTGTGTGAGAGTCGCTGCACACTGCGCTCTCTAGGTTATACAGTGTGTGTGAGTCACTGCACACGTCCATCTCTAGGTTATACAGTGTGTGAGAGTGGCTGCACACCGCCCTCTCTAGGTTATACAGTGTGTGAGAGTCACTGCACACTGCCCTCTCTAGGTTATACAGTTGTGAGAGTCACTGCACACTGCCCTCTCTAGGTTATACAGTGTGTGAGAGTCGCTGCACACTGCCCTCTCTAGGTTATACAGTGTGTGAGAGTGCACACTGCCCTCTCTATGTTATACAGTGTGTGAGAGTCACTGCACACTGCCCTCTCTAGGTTATACAGTGTGTGAGAGTCGCTGCACACTGCCCTCTCTAGGTTATACAGTGTGTGAGAGTCGCTGCACACTGCCCTCTCTAGGTTATACAGTGTGTGAGAGTCGCTGCACACTGCCCTCTCTAGGTTATACAGTGTGTAAGAGTCACTGCCCTCTCTAGGTTATACAGTGTGTGAGAGTTGCTGCACACTGCCCTCTCTAGGTTATACAGTGTGTGAGAGTGGCTGCACACCACCCTCTCTAGGTTATACAGTGTGTGAGGGTGGCTGCACACCACCCTCTCTAGGTTATACAGTGTGTGAGAGTGGCTGCACACCACCCTCTCTAGGTTATACAGTGTGTGAGTCGCTGCACACTGCCCTCTCTAGTTTATACAGTGTGTGAGAGTCGCTGCACACTGCCCTCTCTAGGTTATACATTGTGTGAGAGTCGCTGCACACTGCCCTCTCTGGGTTATACATTGTGTGAGAGTCGCTGCACACTGCCCTCCCTATGTTATACAGTGTGTGAGAGTCACTGCACACTGCCCTCTCTAGGTTATACAGTGTGTGAGAGTCACTGCACATCTCTTATACCATAACCAATTCATGGAACATACATGGCGTTATGGGGTTTGTAATGTCCTTTTAGGCAGCGCTGCCCCCACCCTGTGAATGCGCCCTATTGTCCTCTCTTGCTGCTCACACGATGACCTCATTCCACTCACTGAGAACCAGAGGCTGAGATGTAATTAGGCATAATTTTTACTGCATTGCCATGAATAAGAAGGGGATAAAGGACAAGAATTCAATTAATCTTCAAAAAGTAAAACATTTTAGAAAATGTCCGTTAAAGCCTCGGGGTTTCATGGATCGTGTTTAGCCATTATCCAATGCCACTGGACAATCACTAGTCAATGTGAATGACTTGCAAAATGCGTTGGCAGATGGAATTATTATAACTGGTATTAATGGGTTTTAATTATACACTATAACTGGTATTAATATGAAGAGATCTCTGTTTTTTGGACTAATGACTATAAATAATTATTTGGGGGTGGGGGATATATACCAGCCCTCTGGCACTACGTCTTTTAGGATGAGTGTACTGGTGAAGGCGGCTATGCTTGGCACAGACTGGCCCTGATATAGAATAGCTCAGCTAGATTCAGTCTCCGTGCATGTAGCGGTTTCTATTCCAAGCACCAGGCTCATGGACAGCTGTGGTTTGGGAGAGATGGTGATGTCTATCACTATAAAGTTGAGATTTTAGATGACAGTGGAACCTCAGGAAACTTTACCTTAATCCGTTGCAGAAGGCTGTGCAAGTTCCAATTTGTTCGAAAGCCGAATCAACATTTCCTATAAGAATTAATGTAAATTTTATGAATCAGTTCCAGACCATCAAAACTACGGCATTTTAGCACAATTTTACAGTTTAATAATGCCTTACATGCATATAATCATATAGGAAAAAAATAATAAACAGTAAATGAAATGAAAATGTAACTTCACTTTACCTGTAATGATGAGAGGTGATGGCGTTAGTGGAGAAGAGATATTATTGGTTGGATGGGGATAGGTAACGGTTCTTCTGGCATTTAAAATGTGTCTAAAGGGAGACATAGCTTTATAATTGAACATGTTTGTGGCATGATTTGTTCGGGTACTGAGGATCGTTCGTGTACCAAGACTTTTTTTTCTCAAATTTTTTGTTCGACTACCAAATTGTTTAGGTAAGGGACCGTTTTTATTCTGAGGTTCCACTGAATTTTATTAGCAGTTTGATACTTCCAAGAACTCCCAGTGTCAGGATAGAGTATGGACATGCAGAACTGGGCAGTTGCGTATTACCAGTCCTTCGAGTGATCGGGATTGTACGCTATAAGTTGAATATGCATGAGCAGTGCAACAGGGCGCAGAGGGATGGTGTCAGTCATAATGCCAATATAACGCAAAGTCAGGCATTGCGCAATGTGGTGACACGAGGTAGGAGGAGCCCCTGCAGGTACTGTGACACATCCCTCATGTAAAAAACCTGCTCACCATATTGCTAATGTAAAAACTACACTTCTCCATTGGAAATGTCAATTATGTTCAAATTGGAAAGCATTTCCTGGCTGAAACCATCAGGTATGGACAAAACTGACATTGCAAATGCTACATTATAGATGTGGTGAGTGAGGGTCTAAGCCGTGGCCCCTAGATTTGTGTCTAAGCGAGCATAACACGGAACAAGGGATGGTATCAATAGCTACAACCATAACCACTAGCACACATCATTTTGTCCAAATCTGGGCAGAATTGATTTGCTGACTCAATTGGATTAATTTGTCGCTATATAACTTCCATATTCACAATATGTTGAGGGAGGCGCCAAGCCCAGGAGCCTGGGGGATCTTTGGTTTGTGGCAAATCTCTGGACAACAGTTTCACAGAGCAGCGAGGGAAGGTGCTGTGGTGGTTATGGTGGTTAGAGCTTCCCATTGAGGTCTCAGCAACACTGTGTACATCTGTCATGAAATCCAGTAACAGGGAATTATGGGAATAGTATGGCTGTCTATTTTTCCCACATGCCTCTGTTTAGAGAAAAATGAGAGGCGCTTTTTTAAATTTAACTAATATTTTTTCTTGCAAAAAAACCCCAAAACATCTAGCATCACGCAAAGAAAAAATAATCTGGTTGTTCTATGCTTGGTATGTTCCCTTAAAGAATATTGTTGCTATTTCCCTTTAAGAATAAATGTTCGCAATGGGCTGTGCGTGACACACTTTCCTGGAATCCTCGCACAGTGAATTGCGTACATTTTTGAAGACAGTTCATGGACGGTGATCACTCGCATCCTGGCTCTGCTCCCTCTGTGCTGATCAGTTCTTGGCAAACTCAGACTTTCAGTAACAATATATTTGTCTCTGATAAGAACTCTTACTGTCCTTCATGTTTTATTATAATTCGCAACATTAAAATATTGGGTGATTTATGAGTAGCGTGTCTTGGTGGAGAGTATCTGTCCAAGGAACCCAAAACAGGGATTTGATGAACCCTTTACACCCTGATCTATGTGATATTTCTTGTTTTATACACCAGCAGGTTCTGTATATGCTTGCGTGGCCTCTGCTTATCGGGGGTTTAATACAATATTCTTATTCTGAAAGATCAGCAAATAGCCAGTGTGGGGACCCTGATGGAGTGAGACAAATATTATAAACCTATATTGCAGGCAGATGGGAGAAGAATGGGTTCATTGTTTCCCGAGCTAAACATTACAATATTAACAAAAAAACATATTTTGTGGCAAATTAGCCCAGTAATCCATATAGCCAAGCCATTACCTAAAAACATTGACCTGCTTCCAGATTGTGTTTTCTACTCAGAACATGTCTGTCTGGGTGTGAGGGGTGTAGTGTGTGTGTGTGTGTGTGTGTGAAGGGTGCATAGGATCTATGCTGTGTGTAGCATCTTCTTACCTTTCCCCAGGGAGAGGGGACATAATGCTAGAAGCCCTGGTGGTCCAGTGGTGGCTGTAGGCCGACTCTTCTGTCCTCCTGCGAGCACAGCACTGTGTCGGAGTGTTGCCATGGTAATGAGCGGCAACTCTCTGACCAGCCTGCTCATAGGAGGAACACAGGCCCCTTTCTCCCTCTGCTGGAACTAAGTGCCAGCGGGCCGGTAAGGGAGACCTTTGATCACTTCACCAGCCCGAGAGGGCTTACAACAAGGCTGTCTCTGCATAGGCCAGCAGGGGAGAAACCTACCACCGCCCACCTGAAATCCCAAACCGGGCGGTAGGGACCAGGTTGACTACCCCTGATCTATACAATACACGGCACAGACTAGTAACGCCAGTGCAAAGATTAAAGAAAGGATTCCCATACCCACACCACCCATATTCATTATTCATTATCATGTTCTGTCCTGATTATAAATATCTTGAAAAGGATCATATCACACCCGTTACACCTACGGATGAGCAGAGTTCTTATCATTAATTCTGTGCTAGCTGCACCACTTACAGCTCCTGGCAATGCAGAACACACCAGGCTATCATGTCATATCACGATGCCGACACTGTATGTTTGGCAACCTGTTAGGAACCGACCTATCTCGCTCTCACTTGACATAGGGATTGTGTGCATACTCTGGGAACCCATCACGTGATGTACAGCCAGCAGAGACGCACACGGTGCCCGTATGTGAGATGTCAGCCCTGGATTAGCTGGAGAACCAGAACCAGAACACAATGGTGTTTTTGGATTTGGAAAGTGTAAATCTTTCCTCCCTGGTAGCATGCCCGGGATCATGAAAAGAAGAATTTTCCTTCCTTTTTAAAGTGTATATTTCACCGTGGCTCGGATAACTATCACTGCTGCATTATACAATGAATAAACCCTGTCATGCCAGGCTGGGATCGATCGTCTAATACCCAGCGTGCTATAGCTGGCATCGCTTATAGCTCCTGGCAAATCCTAACACGCCAGGCTATCATAGGTCAACCATCACTGCTGTATTAAAACGATGAATAAACCCAGTCATGTCGGGCTGGGATTGTTTAATTCCTTATCATATCTCACATCAAGGACACAGACTGAATTCACAGCAGGCCACAGTCTGACCCAGAATGCCTTGCTTAGGTACACGGCCTCTGACACGGGCTCTAATAACACACGCTGCATAGAGCTATTAAAAGGAAGTATAGAGTGTCTCTAACACGTGGCTCTCACAGTAAACAAAACACAGCTGCTGCCCCGAAGATTTCCCCTCTCCAAATAGCCTTCACGCCTGCTCAGCAACTATCACTTCCTCCACTACCCATAACACAGGATGCACCACTTCAGCCAGTGGCGTACACACAACCCATGGGGCCCCGGTGCGAAAACTGATCCGTGGCCCCCCCGTGCGCGCGCTTACTCTGAGCGGGCTGGGGCCACAACACATGGCGGCGGGCACCTGGTTGCAGGGCTGCGACCGCGGTATGTAGGCCAGTGCATGCATTAACACATACACTTAAAGGACCACTACAGACACCAAGATCACATCAGCTCAATGAAGTGGTCTGGGTGCCAGGTCTCTCTAGTTTTAACCCTGCAGCTGAAAACATTTGAACCCTTACATTAAACCCTAAGTGTCCCGTGTGCCTAAGCTTAGTGAATGCACTAACTATAATGAAAGTGTAAAACTAATTTTACTTACCTTCCAGGACCTTGCTGTGGAGGAGTAGCAGAAGTGCTAGCACGCATGTGCGGCACAGGATCCAGCTGATTTCCCTCACCAGAAGTGATGAGGGTGGGGGATTTTCACGGGTAGGGAAATTTGATAGAACACCGGCGCCGGAATATGATGTCATTTTCTGGCTCCGGTATCAGTGCGGTGCACGAGGGAGCTGAAGAGGAAGCAGTGGCCGGCTCCTGGGCCCCCCAGGAGAAGAGGCTGGCCCAGTGGGTAGATACCGTGTCGCAGGGCGGCCGGGCCCCCGGTATGCAGAGAGCGCGGGGGGAGGGTCACTAAATAAAGCAGTCACTATATAGCTATAGAAAGCAACTAACCCATGTTTCTAGGAGAATTCCAGGAAATACGAGCCCTAGGACAATAGACTTCCTGGCTTGATGTCATGATACCCGAATAATCTCTATTGTGATCCGTGAGGATACTGTGACAGTTACTGCAGGAGGTCTGCGTTCTCCAATTTACCCCATGCAGTCACTATAAAAGTTGTTTTGGTGCCTATAGCGTCTGTTTAATGTAAACATTCCAAATCCAGATTCTTTCCGTAGATAAGTCACTGGCCATTAGATGCATTAAAGTATGGGAGGAAGGGGGCAAAAGAGGCCCGGAACAAAGGAACAGACTGACTCATTACATATGGATGAAGTAAAGAAATGCATGAAACCAGCACACTTATATAAATATATATCCTGAAAGCAGGCAATGCACAGTCTGTGATCTTACTGAAAATCAAACAGACGAGATTTCTTGGCTCCTTGAGTTCGCGCAGCATGTCCCTCAGATCGAGGGCCCCCTCATTGCGCATTCTGATATCACCCGAGAGGCACAGCTACATGACCATAGACCCCGTGCTCCATTTTACGTGGTTAGAGGGAAGAGATTGGACGTTAAAATAACGTTAGTGGTGTCTGAGCCGCCATGATAGCTGAGCACCCGTAGGTTAGGTGAGCAATGGGGAGTTAGACCAGGAAAGATGGACATTCTCTCCAACTCACAGTAACCTACAGTAACAATGTCTCATTGGACAGATCACCAACAAAACGTGATAACAGATGAATTACCAATATTAACCAACCCTGCGTCTATGGTCAGTCTCCATGCTGTCCATTGTTACACCACCACACTACCATTGGCAAATATATATATATTTAAGTGTTCCTCATGTGCTCCGTATATATTTAGCAATTATTACTGTACAATAATTTATAAAATATCTATAAAAATATAACGTGGATATAAAAAGAGGATGGCATTAATCACGTTTGGGATCCCTTTGTAAGAAATAATTATAATGGCACGCTAGCTCGGAGCGATTTAATGGAATAAATAATTAATAATTGCGCTGCTTTAGAAAGTCCCTTTAAATAATTTATTATAAGGCTGAGCCGTTATGTCAATATGCAACAAATATTTATTCAGGCTGTTAAGAGAACCTATCATATAGGTAAATATAGACTCACGTTGTTGTGCATTTTAACTTTTTCCAGTAAATGTATAGATAAAAAGATACATTTTCCAAAAGATTATTCACTCCGCCCCCGAGGTGTCCACACTTTGACGGAGGCAGACAAGGATTCAGGATTTAATGGTGACAGAAGGAGATGGGTCGGCTATGTTGCCATCTAATCTTTTATATAAATATATATCTGTATTATATATAGATACTTTGTAGCCTGATATAGCGCCCTTCCAATTTTCCACCTACCTTTATGAACCTCGTCTAGTCCTTGTCCCATAAGATAGGTCAATCAGCCTTAAGGAAAAATTCCTGTAACTTCCTTTAACTGGAGTCCAACTCGTATTATTTTAATTATATAGCACTAACACATTCTGCAGCGCTGTAAATATTGAGTAAAGGATATAAGAATACTTTGATCTGACTCAGTAGGTTTGGATTTTCTTTATAAAGTAATTAATTTCAAGTGATTCATTAGTGTAATAAATATTTCTAGAACTGGTTTACTACGCTTACATCATTTTAGCACTTTACAGCGTTTCACTGCTTTGCCATAAATCATTTTCGCTCCCAGCCATTAAACGGCCCTGTACATCATCCACACGCAATAAATGGATTATGTGCTACCACAGTCTATTGACTTCAAGGAATCCTTCCAGTATTGTCTTTATACACTGAGCTAATCAATAAACTCACCACTGGCATTACATGTTATACTGAGTCATTAACACTCTGCACTAATTAGTATATTTATAATGTGTATAAATCTATGGTATGGAATAGAGGGATGTTAGAGTACAGAAATAAGTAGTGCAGGGGTGTAGGAATTGGGTGTGTTGGGGTAAAGATAAAAAGAGTGGGGATCCGGAGTGTACAGGAGTGTAGGGATCAGGAATGTGGGGTGTAGGATTTAGGGGTAAGTGAATCAGGAGTGTTGGGTTACTGAAATCAGGAGTGTTGGGTTACGGAAATCAGGACTGTTGGGGTAAGTGAATCAGAAGTGTTGGGCTACAGAAATCAGGAGTGTTGGGCTACGGAAATCAGGAGTTTTGGGGAAAGGAAATCAGGAGTATTGAGCTACGGAAATCAGGAGTGTTGGGGTAAGGAAATCAGGAGGGTTGGGGTAAGGAAATCAGGAGTGTTGGGCTACGGAAATCAGGAGTTTTGGGGTTAGGAAATCAGGAGTGTTGGGTTACGGAAATCAGGACTGTTGGGGTACGGAAATCAGGAGTGTTGGGGTAAGTGAATCAGGAGTGTTGGGCTACAGAAATCAGAAGTGTTGGGCTACGGAAATCAGGAGTATTGAGCTACGGAAATCAGGAGTGTTGGGGTAAGGAAATCAGGAGGGTTGGGGTAAGGAAATCAGGAGTTTTGGGGTTAGGAAATCAGGAGTGTTGGGCTACGGAAATCAGGGTGTTGGGCTACGGAAATCAGGAGTGTTGGGGTAAGTGAATCAGGACTGTAGGGGTAAGTGAATCAGGAGTGTTGGGTTACGGAAATCAGGAGTGTGTGGGGGTAAGTGAATCGTGAATCAGGAGTGTTGGGGTAAGTGAATCAGGAGTGTTGGGCTACAGAAATCAGGAGTGTTGGGCTACGGAAATCAGGAGTATTGAGCTACGGAAATCAGGAGTGTTGGGGTAAGGAAATCAGGAGGGTTGGGGTAAGGAAATCAGGAGTTTTGGGGTTAGGAAATCAGGAGTGTTGGGCTACGGAAATCAGGAGTGTTGGGGTAACTGAATCAGGAGAGTTGGGGAAAGGAAATCAGGAGTGTTGGGGTAAGTGAATCAGAAGTGTTGGGTTACAAAAAACAGGACTGTTGGGGTATGGAAATCAGGAGTTTAGGGGTAAGTGAATCAGAAGTGTAGGGGTAAGTGAATCAGGAGTGTAGGGCTACGGAAATCAGGAGTGGTGGGCTACAGAAATCAGGAGTGTTGGGATACGGAAATCAGGAGTGTTGGAGAAAGGAAATCAGGAGTTGTGACGAGACCAATCTCGCCACATTGCATTGGAGAAGCCTGGTTGCTCGTCTGTTGCCTTTGGATTATGGCCCCATGTTAAAAGACTTCTTTTCCCCTGCAGAAAAGGCTTATTCGTGCCTTTCTGTCCGGCGGTTGGTAGATTCAATCTACCGAACTAACGCACAAATGACTGGACCACCTGGGAGCTGGAGTGTGTCGGCAATTAACCTCCCAGAAGCTGCGGTTAACCGCAGCTTAATTGACGAATGCTGGGTGGCCGCCATTCGTATACTGAACACGAGATCGCGGCCATTTTAAACACGGGAACACACAGCGGTGTTCGACGCCTAACTCATGGAACTGAATACACCATACCCCATATAGGAATCCCGTGGAGCTCATTCGTATGAAAACTGACTTTGTGAACACTTTGGCTCCACGGCGATTGGACTGTGTGCATAGGATCTGAGCGTTATTCGGTACTTTGGTGCGCTCAGATCCTAGCTATCTGGGGACATGTTGAATGCCTGTAAAATGTTGTAAAATGTATCAGTTATGTATTTTTATGTCTTTTTGTTATTGTCATCTAAAATGGCGTTTAGGCTCTGTCCTGGGAGATAATTGAATTACTTCACAATTATCTCCCTGAGCAGAGCAGAGGGTTCTGGGTAAGAAAGGGGAATGGCTAAGTGTGTACCCTGTGATTGGTTGCTACAATGTCTTTGTCACAGTCTTCCATCTGGTCCCCTAGGGGAGTGTCCACCAGGTGGAAGACCTGCATAAATACCGGGCAGGTAGCCCTCATTAAACAGACCACTGCTTGACCCTCAACACGGAGCCTTGTCTCGTCTTTGGGGGGATTTACTGTATGCTTATAGAGACTGATTGCTAGGACTGTAAGCCGCTTGGGTGCCTTTCCTATTCGTCTGCTAGCGGAAGGTTCCAGGTTCGTGAGGTTCCAGTTCGGGAGTTTGGAGTGCTATTTTGTATCCAGTTCGGGAGTTTGGAGCATTCCCTTATATGCGGTTCGGGAGTTTGGTGTTTTGCAGTAGCTGTGTCTGTATCTCTGGAAGGGGAAAATCGACTAAACGGCGGTTTAACCCTTTTATGCTGAGGGTGCCGTTACAGGAGTGTTAGGGAAAGGAAATCAGGTTGTGTAAGTGAATCATGAGTATTGGAGTAAAATTATTAGGAGAGTTGTGTGTAGAGAATCATAGATGTCAGGGTTAGGGAATCAGGAGTCCTGTCAAATAAGTGGGTTCTGGAAAGCTGCCACTTTTTTTCCAGCATTAAAGATGGATGTGAGAATGGGTTTAAAACTTAAGGTCAAGGATCATGGGAGCTTTAGTTCTATAATAGCTAAATTTCAGTCTTGGTTGAAAATGTGAATATTCCATTTATCTATCAATCTGAGCCACGTTAAATGGAAATAAAGTGAATTACATTTATACACCATGAATAGAGAATCAGATAAAGGCCATCAGTGGATTATCTACCCTCAAATCCATCTTCTAAGGACTTCCACCAATGTCATGGCTGGGACTCTGTCATTAGGCCCGAGTGGCCTCTGTTGCTATGACAACCAGACACTGAATCAATAACTGCATGCAGAGGGTGGGAAGAGAAAGGGAGGGCGGTGAGGCAATGCTTTTACTGGTGGTCATGAAACAAAGTGATATCATTAATGTTCCCGGCCCAGCTCGTCACTAATGATTAAATTATCCATCTATTATTGGAAGCCCTGTCTTATGCCTGGAGAGAGGGCACAGACCATGATAGAGTGACTGCATAATATGACGTGTTAGTAAATATCAGAGGTTTTCATCTCTCAGGCATCGCTAGCTCACACGACATTGTCTACTGACCACATTCCACGTATAGTGTGAAAAGCGTGGGTTATTGACCTCTTTAAATGATAATCACTATTGAGGAACCTCTCAGACAGGTCAGCCTGCCCTGCGAATCTCTGTATACAAACTATGCGGAGACGTAGAGAACGTGAGAATCGTTTAGTAGAGTGCCCATTTTTTTGTATCATTGTGCCACGTGTTCATTCTCACTGCCCCACACTATGCAGCTTTCTCCTGACGGCCTTATTAGTTGGAGAACATCACGCGTGGCCTAACGTGTCCCACAAGTGTGCCCCAGCCACCACGTCTCACAATGTATAACAATAGTGATACATTACCATAGTGGGCAAAATTTACACAACGTTACAAACACCTCCACACATCTGGATCGGAAATGTTGGGGACTCGGCGCCTATAGGATGGCCGTTAGCAGACCCAATAAAACATGCATCCACAGGGAATGTAGAAGTAACTACCTTTTATTGTTTATTCTGTCTACGTGCTATTCATATACTACATGAAAAAAAGGTCATATCTTGTCTCCTACGAAAAGCTGCCAATAATGTGAGTTTAGAACATGTATGAATCCTATCTGTTTTCTGTGGAATAAAATAAGCTTCCAATGCCTTCCATTCCCAGCTCTGTCTTGAATCACCTGAACATTAAAGGGCTTATTAATTAATTAATGAATCCAGCCATGGTAGGAACAACTATTAAACTGAAAGAAAAACAGGGCGTTCTTACTGCGGAGGAAAACAGATTTACTCTATTTATAGTCAATAGAAGAGATGGGCAATTGCCCCTCGGGGAAGCAGCGCTGTGCGTCGGCTGAAATGTCACTGTTTAACCCTTTAACCCTGCAGGGGGAGGGGGCACCAGAGATGGACGGCATGTTTCCAAGAAATGAATCATACTTATATAGGAAAAGGTATAGTTCATCTAAAATGATAGCGTGCTTTACATCAGCAACAACTAACCCTGGCACTCCAGATGTTTCTGGACAACAATTCCCAGGGTGCTCAAGCGGCCTCAATGGCAGACAGAAGTCATGTGACCCTTGGCATTAGTTTCCAAATATGTCATTGTTCCCTGATCTGGCCCCAAAGCTGAGTTACCGGGGTTTATATTTCAGTTATATTTAAACAGGAATTTTTCTTTAGTTCGTTTAATTTTAATGTTTTCCTTTTAAATGTTAAGGAACAGCATTAACCCAGTATAGTAATGTAGAGCAAATCTTACAGTGCGGGATCAACTAGACCCATAAATTATCTGATCACCAGAATTAATGATTTCGTAAAGCGTTTTATGTATTCTGACATTAGACAGTTTACTAATCTCACTAATTGTCATGCTCACGTTGCATTGTGGACACGAGGAGTACACAGGATGGTGACATGATATGCAGGCCTGACCTTACACAGCGGGCCCAGGAATGGATTAACCTAATCTGATAAATGTCACTATTGTGCCTGACGTCCCCCTGAGAGCACAGATTGGGGTGGGGGGTGTGAAGATGAGAGGGGAAGTCATTGGTGTGATGTAATCTCTCTCTTCTCCTCACTTTTAACACTTTCACAACTGGAAGGGGAGACATTGAGGCATAACTCTCATAAAAAAGGGTTACAGAAGTCCCATTAGCACTACTGCCGGGATGGGAAATGTTAATTCTGAACATATTGGGCATTGTAGCAACATACAACCAATTGCGGCACAACACCTCTCTGTGTGTCGCTCAGATCTCCTCACATGAGGTGTGCCTCCTAATTCTCCATTTTCCTGTGTGGATTTGGAATCAAGACCGGATTCTTTGTGGGTTGAGAACCCCACTCCTCTACTATAGGTACTGTAACGTGAATAGAAATTTGTGGAAACTGTAAACCCTATAACTGTGACTGGAACTGAATCTAGAGACTGGAAACCCTATAACTGTGACTGGAACTGAATCTAGAGACTGGAAACCCTATAACTGTGACTGGAACTGAATCTAGAGACTGTAAACCCTATAACTGGAACTGGAACTGAATCTAGAGACTAAAATCCCTGTAACCATTACTGGAACTGAATCTAGAGACTGGAAACCCTATAACTGTGACTGGAACTGAATCTAGAGACTGTAAACCCTATAACTGGAACTGGAACTGAATCTAGAGACCGAAAACCCTGGAACTGAATCTAGAGACTAAAATCCCTGTAACCATGACTGGAACTGAATCTAAAGACTGGAAACCCTATAACTGTGACTGGAGCTGAATCTAGAGACCGAAAACCCTGGAACTGAATCTAGAGACTAAAATCCCTGTAACCATGACTGGAACTGAAGCTAGAGACTGGAAACCCTATAACTGTGACTGGAGCTGAATCTAGAGACCAAAAACCCTGTAACTGTGACTGGAGCTGAATCTAGAGACCAAAAACCCTGTAACTGTGACAGGAGCTGAATCTAGAGACTGAAAACCCTGGAACTGTGACTGGAGCTGAATCTAGAGACTGGAAACCCTGGAACTGTGACTGGAGCTGAATCTAGAGACTGGAAACCCTGGAACTGTGACTGGAGCTGAATCTAGAGACTGGAAACACTGGAACTGGAACTTAATCTAGAGACCAAAAACCCTATAACTGTGAATGGAACTGAATCTAGAGACTGGAAACCCTACAACTGTGACTGGAACTGAATCTAGAGACTAAAATCCCTGTAAACGTGACTGGAACTGAATCTAGAGACTGGAAACCCTGTAACTGTGACTGGAACTTAATCTAGAGACCGAAAACCCTATAACTGTGACTGGTGCTGAATCTAGAGACTAAAATCCCTGTGACTGGAACAGAATCTACAGACTGCAAGCTCTGTAACTGTGACTGGAACTGAATCTAGAGACCGAAAACCCTGGAACCGTGACTGGAACTGAATCTAGAGACTGGAAACTCTGTGACTGGAACAGAATCTACAGACTGGAAACCCTATCACTGTGACTGGAACTGAATCTGAGATTTCGGTAACTAGTCTAGAACCAACACTGAATCTGGAGTCTGTGAATTCTGTAACTAGAACTAACACTGAATCTGGATTCTGTGAATTCTGTAACTAGAACCAACACTGAATCTGGATTCTGTGAATTCTGTAACTAGAACCAACACTGAATCTGGAGTCTGTGAATTCTGTAACTAGAACCAACACTGAATCTGGAGTCTGTGAATTCTGTAACTAGAACTAACACTGAATCTGGAGTCTGTGAATTCTGTAACTAGAACTAACACTGAATCTGGAGTCTGTGAATTCTGTAACTAGAACTAACACTGAATCTGGAGTCTGTGAATTCTGTAACTAGAACTAACACTGAATCTGGAGTCTGTGAATTCTGTAACTAGAACCAACACTGAATCTGGAGTCTGTGAATTCTGTAACTAGAACCAACACTGAATCTGGAGTCTGTGAATTCTGTAACTAGAACCAACACTGAATCTGGAGTCTGTGAATTCTGTAACTAGAACCAACACTGAATCTGGAGTTTGTGAATTCTGTAACTAGAACTAACACTGAATCTGGAGTCTGTGAATTCTGTAACTAGAACTAACACTGAATCTGGAGTCTGTGAATTCTGTAACTAGAACTAACACTGAATCTGGAGTTTGTGAATTCTGTAACTAGAACTAACACTGAATCTGGAGTCTGTGAATTCTGTAACTAGAACCAACACTGAATCTGGAGTCTGTGAATTCTGTAACTAGAACTAACACTGAATCTGGAGTCTGTGAATTCTGTAACTAGAACCAACACTGAATCTGGAGTTTGTGAATTCTGTAACTAGAACTAACACTGAATCTGGAGTCTGTGAATTCTGTAACTAGAACCAACACTGAATCTGGATTCTGTGAATTCTGTAACTGAACTAACACTGAATCTGGATTCTTGCTACCATGTGGATGAGGTTCCCTTTGTGTGTGATTTATGAACGTGGTCTTTCAGTTCCATCGTTCGTTAATCGTAGTATTTCCTGCAATCTGTGATGACTAATCCTGCAAGGATCTGATAAAGCCACTTGTCAGAGAGACAGTTTATTTCAGTAATGGCCATTAACAATAAATTACTATTCGTCTCATCACTCGATTCATTGTTACTGAGCACAAAGCCAGTCCTGTCCTCTCATGTCCTTTAATGATCTCACCAAGTTATTTTCAACGTGGGCACCGCAGCAAGATGGCACCAGGCTGGCACCTCAATGTATGATTTCACAGAGTGAACAAATACAAAAAGAAACAAAATATCTCTGAAAGGGCCGTTTGCTGCAAATCTTCAGAATTCTGCCGCCTCTGCGCTGCTCTCTACCAGCCAATCCTGGCGCTCCCAGTAATATTTGTGGGAACACTGCGGGTATCCCTGAATTTGGGGAGCTTCAGAGATTATTACTTCAGCTATTGGCTTTCTGATAAACGTGGTCCAGTTTGTAGATATTAGTAGCCATTCGTGGACATCCGACATCTGGTTTGCCCTGCTGACAGTTTGTACTATTTTTAGCAAAACTAAAAGGAAAATCGTCAGCAGTTTGTATTATTATTTAAAATTATTATTAAGATTACACGTAATATAGCCTCGGTGTATTATTATTATTATTTAATATTACACGTAATATAGCCTCGGTGTATTATTATTATTATTATTTAATATTACACGTAATATAGCCTCTGTGTATTATTATTATTATTATTTAATATTACACGTAATATAGCCTCGGTGTATTATTATTATTATTTAATATTACACGTAATATAGCCTCTGTGTATTATTATTATTATTATTTAATATTACACGTAATATAGCCTCTGTGTATTATTATAATAACATATAACTTGAAACCTATTTGTAGTGCATCTTCTGATTTATCGTAAAGAAATAGGAAAAACGGGTCTCCTAGGCAGTGGTTCCCAACCCAGTCCTCCAGTACCCCCACACAGTCCAGGATTCAAGGATTAGAAAAACAAACACTTTAGACACAACTGGGTAATCCCTAAATCCTGGTCTGGTAGGGGGTATTAGAGGATTGGGTTGGGATCCCCTGTCCTAGGGGGATACAGTTCCAACAATAGGGCCTAACCCTGAATAATCTTACCAACAAGACAGTCCCCAACTACATAGAGTTAGGAATTTAGATGTAGAAAATCCCTTAAAAATGACACATAGAAACATAGAAACATAGAAACATAGAAACATAGAATGTGACGGCAGATAAGAACCATTCGGCCCATCTAGTCTGCCCAATTTTCTAAATACTTTCATTAGTCCCTAGCCTTATCTTATAGTTAGGATAGCCTTATGCCTATCCCACGCATGCTTAAACTCCTTTACTGTGTTAACCTCTACCACTTCAGCTTGAAGGCTATTCCATGCATCCACTACCCTCTCAGTAAAGTAATACTTCCTGATATTATTTTTAAACCTTTGTCCCTCTAATTTAAGACTATGTCCTCTTGTTGTGGTAGTTTTTCTTCTTTTAAATATAGTCTCCTCCTTTACTGTGTTGATTCCCTTTATATATTTAAATGTTTCTATCATATCCCCCCTGTCTCGTCTTTCCTCCAAGCTATACATGTTAAGATCCTTTAACCTTTCCTGGTAAGTTTTATCCCGCAATCCATGAACCAGTTTAGTAGCCCTTCTCTGAACCCTCTCTAAGGTATCAATAAAATAAACCTCTATGTATAGCAACTAAATTATAAATAATAATAAAGTGTTATACCCACAGTGTGTCACAGTACAAGTATGAAAATGTATTATAAACAACACTAACACATGGGAAGAATGCTGACCCAATTTTTTAAGTAAATATTTAGAAATTATTTCAGATTCAGAGTAATAAGCCCTGTAGGGGATACCTGTAACAGTAAATTCAAACTAATTATCTGCTGGAGGTGCTACATCCCAGATAACTTAGTATCACTATTACAGCATAAAGAAGTGGCAACGATAGATAGATCTCTGGTTTATTTTATTGATTTTCCTACATTTAAGGGGGACTGTCTTGTTGGCATCTTCTGATTTAGTCTTGCTCTGTGTGGCCACCTCTTTGGTCAGGATTAACACTTATCCACTTAAACCAGCTCAGAGTGTGTTTGGCCACATACGTGATGTCAGAAATTGTAAACACAAGCAAGTTCTTAGTTTAATTAAAACAGGGTTAATTCACATATAACGCAGCTAAAGTGTAACCAGAGAATGTTTCCAGATCCGCTGTTTGAATCTGAAATTCACTCTGAATTCTCAGTTTAGTAAATAGTCAGATAAACATTCCTTCTGGCTAAACAACATTTATCCACCCAAAGGTGGAACAAACGTGTGAAACCAGCTGACGGTGTGATGTTAGATGTCTGGGACCTTCATATGATGTCGTCTTAATTCTTGGATAAATACCTACATACAGAAGCACCTGATATCTGACCAAAGATTGCTGAGAGACGGCCACCCCACTGGACAACAATAAGCCAGAAAATGCACTTAAAGGAGATATATTAACTCAAATGTATCAATTACAAAACGATACCCATGGAGGCTATAACATATGCAACAAATAGTAAAATGTATGCGCCTCTTCGAGTTCTTTTCTTAGGGTTTTTCTGCAGAAAAGTATTCCATTCACAGAAACAATTTGATGTAATCACAAGCCAGATACAATTACCCACTGTCCTTTACTGTACGACGCATTTATTGAAACATCTACAACAATTACAAATTCGTGGTTATTATGTCAACCCCCCCCATTGAAATTACTGAAATTCCAACATAGTCAATAGATATATTGAGACAAACTAGGGACTACTTTCTCTGCTTGACAAAATTTTGATAATTCCCCTAAAACAATATCTTTAGAGGCTCCCGTGGTCGCGAAGGATCCTCCGTAGATATCAGAGTTGTACTCTTGCGCGAGATTACAGCACTGATGTGCGCTCCGTGTAGATGAGGCTACAGTTGGTGAAGTATGTCCCCCGATGGTGATGGTGGCAACTGGCCAATGTAGGACAGGTTCAGGTAACTATATCTCACCGGGATTGTACCCCCAGGTCCCCGCACACTAAACCCAAACTATGCAAAAAAACCAAAAAGTGACAGAGCCACTTCAAGCAAAATCTTAACTTTCCATTGATTATGGAGTTCTACATACAGGAGACTGGAACAATATGGGAATAAATGTTTAAACATAAATACAAAAATAAACAAGTCCTGCGCTCAAACTCCCATCACTCCTGGGCGGCAGCAACGACCATAGTGCACATCACCCCTAATACAGGCAGTAAAAACCAAAGAAAAATTGTTACCCGTGCTCTTCCTAATAATTATAATAATAATAAAAAAAAAAAAAACCTTTCTGTATCATTAGAGAAATCTTTGCCAGATTATTTTCTACAAACCACAAAATGTAAAACCAGTTTTAATTTATATACTGCCCAGCAATCTTCTAACTGTAACCACGTCTATTTACAAACAGGAAAAGTACAAACATACATAGTGTAGACTCTAAAAATGCAGATTAGAAAATATAACCCAGAACTACACGTTTTATGGAGCCAACCACTCGCATTCTGTCCGTCCATCAAGATGTATATACGCACAGAATAAAATCCTGTAAACCTTATATCATTATCTTATACATATGTCATCACCTTAGCTAAGTATGTGACATCATCTAAGAAATACGTATGACATCATCAAGCCATTATATTTGCAGCTTGATGTCATAGCGTGTCGCCAAAATCCAAAGCCTGCCTTGTCACCAATACTGTCAATACATAAATCATAATGGGGTTTATTGACTAAAACACGACTTGTGGGAACAGACAAAGAATCTCGTATTTCAGGTCAAAACATCCGAGCATGGAATACAGAATCGGAGAATGTTTTCACCTCGGCTGTTTTTAGACCTGTGCGTGGCCATAAAGCTCAGTTTGGCCGAATCATTTTTTCTGAAGTAATAAATTCAGATTTGAGCATTCGCTTAATTTTGAGCATTCGGTCTGGCTGATCTCTGAGTTTTTTATTTATTATTTATTTCCAATGTATTTATTTAAATGGCTGTCCCCTAACCATCAATCACATTTTTGGGTGGCGCACCATGGGAGGAACACCAAATCACAAACAACTGGAATGACTCGTCTGTTTTGATTGCTCTGTGATTCGGTCATATGGCTAATCAGAGTTTCGGAATTCGGACGTCCCGCTGATCGGCCAAATGTTGGACAAATTGCAGCTCGGATAAAAACAAATCCACAAGTCCAGATATTTTGACCTAAAAAAGACAAACTGCACAATTCCTGGTTTAATTAATAAAGCATTATGGCCTGTCCTTGCTCACAGAAATATAAAATAAGAAAATATCGATTCATAGAGATTTGTGATATCACCCCGAGCCTTCGTAAAGGGAGTGATCTCATACTTTGCAGATGAATCCATTTGTAAATGGAGATGGGGGCGTTAGTGGGAATAAAAGCCTGTGTGTTTTTTATCATCTGAATTGTCTGAACCTGTGTCTGTCTGTCGACCTACCAATAAATAATTATTTAACCATTGCTGTACTATTCAAATGTATTGATATCGCCAGCATATACTGTAAGTCCCCAATGGAAGGGTAACAGATCCAGATATATTTTGTGCAGAATCAGATGGCTGTTAAATTATGGATGTTAATGCACAAATTGTTATTGTAAGAAAATGGGATATATTTACTTACTGCACCCCCAGGCAAAGCTAATCTACCCAGCACCCATAGTCTTATCCTTATATACTATGCTAACACTTTTTTAACCGACAATAGCTTGGCAGTGAAGGGGTTAATTGTGATAGATTAACCCTGTATTTGTATGTATGTTCATGTAGCTTGCAGTGATTAACTAATTAACCTTGATACATATTATTCTGTATAATAATTAATGTGGATGGTACACACCTACTGAACCTACCTCCCAGGAAAAATGCTGCTTGCCCCCATCCCTCATCTTAAAAGGTAAAAAGGTATGTTCAGTTATTAGACTGAGTCTGTCCCTCAAGGAATGTATACTTTGTATATGGAGATCACAGAGCTCCACAGAAATACAATTCCCAGTAATGTGCAGTGAGAATGCGTGTATCACAGAGCTCCACAGAAATACAATTCCCAGTAATGTGCAGTGAGAATGCGTGTATCACAGAGCTCCACAGAAAGACAATTCCCAGTAATGTGCAGTGAGAATGCGTGTATCACAGAGCTCCACAAAAATACAATTCCCAGTAATGTGCAGTGAGAATGCGTGTATCACAGAGCTCCACAGAAATACAATTCCCAGTAATGTGCAGTGAGAATGCGTGTATCACAGAGCTCCACAGAAATACAATTCCCAGTAATGTGCAGTGAGAATGCGTGTATCACAGAGCTTCACAGCAATAAAACTCACAGTAATGTGTATTGTGTATGAGTGTATTACAGAGCTCCACAGAAATAAAACTCACAGTAATGTGCAGTGTGTATAAGTGTATCACAGTGCTCCACATGAATACTCTAATAATCACTGGAGGCCGCTACATCCTCTCTAATGGGCTAATTTGTTACACATTTTGTGTGAATCCTGTCAGACTGACACATACCATTAACATACAATTAACTCATTTTGTTTGTTTGTTTGTGCCTTTAGCACCAATAGTAATTAACTAATCAAACAGAGTTTATTCTACATTTCATCAATTCCCAAATACATCCACAAATCCGAAGGACGCACTGTTCATTTTTACGGCTATTTTTTTTTATTATTAGCTTGTTAGTACATAGCCCCCAAAATGTCTCGAAAATAACAAAAGATAGATTTTATTGCAATATAAGATGGGATAAATACATGTCACAGAGTTTCCGGTTCTCTGTCGGTGTAAACGCATGAGACGTTCCAAGTCCAGCTTATGTCGGAGTTTAAAGCTTAATAAAGAACATTAAAAAAAATCTGTATTGTTTAACGTGTTTTCGGTTATAGCTGTCTGCCTTTCAGTTTGAATGACTGACAACCTGTTTATTTGCAGGCTATGGAGAGCAAGCTCTTGATTGGCGGGAAGAATATCATGGACCATACAAACGAGCAGCAGAAAATGTTGGAGATCAAGCGGCAGGAGATCGCAGAGCAGGTAAAGGAGACAGGATGGGATGTTCCCAACGCATTTTATAGAAAATTTGCCTGACCTTCTCGATGTACACAAAATGTGTCAGGGAATGAACTTTGAAAACAGCAGAGATATCAAGTTAGGACTTAGAAGTACACCCTTGGCACCATAGCCATGATAGTATGCTGTAGTGGTTATAGTGCGAACATGCTGCGCTCTCCATGTAAGTCGTCAAAACATAAGGGTTCCAGTCATTACCTGGGGTGCGTCAGGCGCTGCTCCCTGCTTCTTCTGGAGCTCTCTGTGTGTGCTGAGCCTGATGGTTTAAGTCTCTGCACATTGGCTGACCGTGTTCAGCTGAGCTAACTCTGCACAGCAGGACTCTCAGGGGAGCTATCCCAGGCTCCTAGCACATGCCATGGAAAAGAGAGAGGCAGTGAGTCACGCCTGGTGGACCCCAGAAAAGAAATCAAACCGCTACTAAACAGTCTAACTACTTACACTAAAGGATACGCCGAGGCATTCCTGGCACCATGACCACTAGAGCATGCCTAAAGCCACCTCTAGTGTCTGTCACTCAGACAATCAGTCATTCACTCCGACAGCCACTAGAGTAAACTGTTAATTTTTTTTATCAGTTCTGGGGGAGGGGGTGCTGAGTAATCTAAATTGTTACGAAGACTACAGCAATAGGAATACATGTTTACATTCCTAACGCTATAGTGTTCCTTTAACTCTTGCATGGCGTAAACTCGCACAATACGCTGCTGGAGAAAGTGCTGAGCGTGCATGTATGTGTATGGATCACAGGGTAATGAAGATTTTTACTAAACAAGAAATTCTGAATTATGTGGAAATGGTTTTATTTTAGTAAATTGTCCCATTACTATTTTTCGAGCTGTTTTTGTGTCCTGTGCTAGAAATGGCGAGAGAGAGAGATCCAACAGCAGATGCTTCTGCAGGGCGAAGAGACGCTGGAACTTCGAGAGACCTATACATCCCTGCAACAGGAGGTCGAGATGAAGACCAAAAAACTCAAGAAGGTCAGGCGCAGTTTAAAAAAAAATATACCTAGCCACTTCAGACTATTTTGTTTATCTTTGAGGGTTGCCCTAGGAAGACTGGTTTATATATGATGTTTGATGTGTTTGCTTAAAATGTGAAGGAGGGATTTCGAATGCTAGTGGCACGAAAGCCACTAGCATTCATATGGTAGTTTCACGAACAGTGATTTTCAACACCGTTCGTGAAACGAACAAAGTACTGAATGGGAACCCACACACAGGGGGTCGTGTGGCTACCATTAACCGATTGCAACAATGTATCCATCGGCTATTAATTGATTCACAGGGTGGCCGGCGTTCGGCTACCAACCACGAGGCGGCAGCCATCTTGGATTCCCTTTTTGTCCAGTGGTGTTTGGTCGTCGAGTGCCTCAAACTAAAATCGGCTACTCGATGGCACGAACACCGCTAGACTTCCAGGCCGTTCGGGAGCGCCGGTCTTTCGATACTTTTTCTCCACTTGTGTATTCGTGACTTTTATGAGGAATGTATATTGAAGTGTATTTCGTGTGGCGTTTGGCTGATTGTGCTTGGATCTGAGCGGTACTTTCACAAAGTATGCGCTCAGACCCCAGCTATCTGCCGAACGGTCATTCGGAACAGTGGCACGAATAGTATGTAAGTTACAGATTTTTATATGAAGGATAATCTACTTAACAGGATATTCTAGTGGGAGTATCCCTCTCGTACAGCAGTCCATGGTGGGAGAAATGTTCTGTATGTTAAGTCCCCCATGTAGTCCACTACTGTACAACCCCTGAAACTGTGTTTCGTCCGGTTACTGGGGGATTTGGGATATTGCCTTCATTTTCAGTGCTTTCCTTGGATTACCTTATTTTACCAGCGGAGATATTGGGATTTAATGTTGCAGCTCCGCTACATAGTCTATAGAAAATGAATAATGTGAATCAAGAAAGGCATCCAATCGCATCGACCTCTTGGTAAGCACATCAGCTCGCACTAAAATATAAATACAAGAGAAAAGCATTCCTGACCCCAACCATCACACTGGGCAAAATGGTGGCATGGCAGCTTCCAAAAAGTGCTCGTGTCCGCTTGACATGTATGTTCCCGAGACTGACCGGCCGCCATGATGGCTATCCCACGCAGGGTTACCCATGGCAGAGTGTTGCTGAAGCACTCTCATAGACAGGCAAGCCTGGTGACTTTTTGTGCACCATGGGTATGTCAAATGATACGTTCAACCTGTGGATACGTTGTGTGCAAAAACAACACTATCCCACCAAATTTAGGACAGTTGGGGTGTATACTCGGAAGCAGCACAATTCGCATCAACACATCGGTACAGGAGAGAGGCACGGCAGCTGCAGCCTAGTCCATTACTGATTAATAATGGGGGTAAAAATCCTGAATTATTCTGTTAGGGTATAAACTGGGGGAAACTGCTGCAGGGACTCAGGGCCGGGTTTATGAGATACATCACTGACTAATCGTTCGTGGCATCTTCTAGTAACATATCTGTAACGTGGCAGCATGCTTCCTGTGTAACTACAGGAGATTAGATCCAAGATTAACATGATTGTTATCACAGCCCATTGTGCTACTTACATTGAGTTTGGCCACAATAATTATGTTATATATATCTTGCACTTAGTCCAATCATTTTTTTGGACAAAAAACTCCCCACAATTTTCTAAACAGAAATGATTATGTTCTAGTGATGTACCTCGCTGTTTAATGAAACATTATATATACACACACATGGACGCATAAAAATTAAATACAGTAGGTTGGGTGTCAAACAGTGTATGTGGATGACAAATGGATTTCTCAGCACCTTACATAGAAACATAGAATGTGACGACAGATCAGAACCATTCGGCCCATCTAGTCTGCCCAATTTTCTAAATACTTTCACTAGTCCCTAGCCTTATCTTATAGTTAGGATAGCCTTATGCCTATCCCATTCATGCTTAAACTCCTTTACTGTGTTAAAGGACCACTATAGTGCCAGGAAAACATACTCGTTTTCCTGGCACTATAGTGCCCTGAGGGTGCCCCCACCCTCAGGGACCCCCTCCCGCCCGGCTCTGGAAGGGGGAAAGGGGTAAAAACGTACCTTTTTCCAGCGCTGGTCGGAGAGCTCTCCTCCTCTGATCCTCCTCCGATCCTCCTCCTGGGCTGAATGCGCACGCGCGGCAAGAGCTGCGCGCGCATTCAGCCGGTGGCATAGGAAAGCATTCTCAATGCTTTCCTATGGACGCTGGCGTGCTCTCACTGTGAAAATCACAGTGAGAAGCACGCAAGCGCCTCTAGTGGCTGTCAATGAGACAGCCACTAGAGGATTAGGGGGAAGGCTTAACCCATTGATAAACATAGCAGCTTCTCTGAAACTGCTATGTTTATTAAAAAATGGGTTAACCCTAGAAGGACCTTGGCACCCAGACCACTTCATTAAGCTGAAGTGGTCTGGGTGCCTAGAGTGGTCCTTAACCTCTACCACTTCAGCTGGAAGGCTATTCCATGCATCCACTACCCTCTCAGTAAAGTATACTTCCTTATTTTTAAACCTTTGTCCCTCTAATTTAAGACTATGTCCTCTTGTTGTGGTAGTTTTTCTTCTTTTAAATATAGTCTCCTCCTTTACTGTGTTGATTCCCTTTACGTATTTAAATGTTTCTATCATTTCCCCCCTGTCTCGTCTTTCCTCCAAGCTATACATGTTAAGATCTTTTAAATACCTTAAAGGAAATCTCTGACTTCTCTGAATTTTAAACATTCTGTTTACCTATCCATATATTTAACAAATATATTTAGGAGGAGTGAAAAATAAAATTAAATGTAGAAACCCACACCTCTCTATACTGTAACTGGGTGCCTCCATCTTAGCTCCCTGTCAATCATTGTTATAAGCTCCGCCCTTTACACCTGGCAGTCAGTATAGAGAGAGCCACCTCCATCTTAGCTCCTGTCAGTCATTGTTAGAAGCTCCACCCTTTACACCTGGTAGTCAGTATAGATAGAGCCGCCTCCATCTTAGCTCCCTGTCAATCATTGTTATAAGCTCCGCCCTTTACACCTGGCAGTCAGTATAGAGAGAGCCACCCCCATCTTAGCTCCCTGTCAATCATTGTTATAAGCTCCGCCCTTTACACCTGGCAGTCAGTATAGAGAGAGCCACCTCCATCTTAGCTCCCTGTCAATCATTGTTATAAGCTCCGCCCTTTACACCTGGCAGTCAGTATAGAGAGAGCCACCTCCATGTCAATCATTGTTATAAGCTCCGCCCTTTACACCTGGCAGTCAGTATAGAGAGCCACCTCCATCTTAGCTCCCTGTCAATCATTGTTATAAGCTCCGCCCTTTACACCTGGGAGTCAGTATAGAGAGAGCCACCTCCATCTTAGCTCCCTGTCAGTCATTGTTATAAGCTCCGCCCTTTACACCTGGCAGTCAGTATAGAGAGAGCCACCTCCATCTTAGCTCCCTGTCAATCATTGTTATAAGCTCCGCCCTTTACACCTGGCAGTCACTATAGAGAGAGCCGCCTCCATCTTAGCTCCCTGTCAATCATTGTTATAAGCTCCGCCCTTTACACCTGGCAGTCAGTATAGAGAGAGCCACCTCCATCTTAGCTCCCTGTCAATCATTGTTATAAGTTCCGCCCTTTACACCTGGCAGTCAGTATAGAGAGAGCCACCTCCATCTTAGCTCCCTGTCAATCATTGTTATAAGCTCCGCCCTTTACACCTGGCAGTCAGTATATAGAGAGCAGACAGAGAGGAGGAGACATGACACAAGGTGTGTCCTGGCTGTGCCTTGTGTGAACTGGGTTATGATGTCATTTGTTAAATCTTTAATATAAATTTAAAAGAAAACAGAGAATCTCATGAAGAAAAATGTTAACACAACTGATAGGTGATATTCAATGTTTTATTCAATGGGGTAAATAAATCTCAAAGAAGTGTCAGATCTCCTTTAAAGGAGGCGTCTCTGGTGGGAGTGTAAGTGGATGTCAGAGTGTTATACGCCCATTATAATGTAAGAGCAGGAGGACTAGAGCTCTATGGAAAGATTTACTAGTTCCCGTTCTCTGTTCCAGCTGCAGGAGATCTGTTGTTATCAGGTAACAGCATGTGCAGCATATAGATTTAGAGCTCTAGTCTCTATTATCAGATAATATGCAGTACGTCCAGCCTATAGGATTAGAACTCTAGGTGGGGCTCACTAGTTCCTGGTCTCTGTTCCAGCTCTATTATCAGATAATATGCAGTATGTGCAGCCTATAGGATTAGAACTCTAGGTGGGGCTCACTAGTTCCTGGTCTCTGTTCCAGCTCTATTATCAGATAATATGCAGTATGTGCAGCCTGTAGGATTAGAACTCTAGGTAGGGCTTGCTAGTTCCTGCTCTCTGTTCCAGCTCTATTATCAGATAATATGCAGTATGTGCAGCCTGTAGGATTAGAACTCTAGGTAGGGCTTGCTAGTTCCTGTTCTCTGTTCCAGCTCTATTATCAGATAATATGCAGTATGTGCAGCCTGTAGGATTAGAACTCTAGGTAGGGCTCACTAGTTCCTGCTCTCTGTTCCAGCTCTATTATCAGATAATATGCAGTATGTGCAGCCTGTAGGATTAGAACTCTAGGTAGGGCTCACTAGTTCCTGCTCTCTGTTCCAGCTCTATTATCAGATAATACGCAGTACGTCCAGCCTATAGGATTAGAACTCTAGGTAGGGCTCACTAGTTCCTGCTCTCTGTTCCAGCTCTATTATCAGATAATACGCAGTACGTCCAGCCTGTAGGATTAGAACTCTAGGTGGGGCTCACTAGTTCCTGCTCTCTGTTCCAGCTCTATTATCAGATAATATGCAGTATGTGCAGCCTGTAAGATTAGAACTCTAGGTAGGGCTTGCTAGTTCCTGTTCTCTGTTCCAGCTCTATTATCAGATAATACGCAGTATGTGCAGCCTGTAAGATTAGAACTCTAGGTAGGGCTTGCTAGTTCCTGTTCTCTGTTCCAGCTCTATTATCAGATAATACGCAGTATGTGCAGCCTGTAAGATTAGAACTCTAGGTAGGGCTTGCTAGTTCCTGTTCTCTGTTCCAGCTCTATTATCAGATAATACGCAGTATGTGCCGCCTGTAGGATTAGAACTCTAGGTAGGGCTCGCTAGTTCCTGCTCTCTGTTCCAGCTCTATTATCAGATAATATGCAGTATGTGCAGCCTGTAGGATTAGAACTCTAGGTAGGGCTTGCTAGTTCCTGGTCTCTGTTCCAGCTCTATTATCAGATAATATGCAGTATGTGCAGCCTGTAGGATTAGAACCCTAGGTAGGGCTTGCTAGTTCCTGCTCTCTGTTCCAGCTCTATTATCAGATAATACACAGTATGTGCAGCCTGTAGGATTAGAACCCTAGGTAGGGCTTGCTAGTTCCTGCTCTCTGTTCCAGCTCTATTATCAGATAATACACAGTATGTGCAGCCTGTAGGATTAGAACCCTAGGTAGGGCTTGCTAGTTCCTGCTCTCTGTTCCAGCTCTATTATCAGATAATATGCAGTATGTGCAGCCTGTAGGATTAGAACTCTAGGTAGGGCTTGCTAGTTCCTCTTCTCTGTTCCAGCTCTATTATCAGATAATACGCACTATGTGCAGCCTGTAGGATTAGAACTCTAGGTAGGGCTTGCTAGTTCCTCTTCTCTGTTACAGCTCTATTATCAGATAATACACAACACGTGCAGCATATAGAATTAGAGCCCTAGTTGGGCTCACTAGTTCCTACTCTCTGTTCCAGCTCTATTATCAGATAATATGCAGTATGTGCAGCCTGTAAGATTAGAACTCTAGGTAGGGCTTGCTAGTTCCTGTTCTCTGTTCCAGCTCTATTATCAGATAATCCGCAGTACGTGCAGCCTGTAGGATTAGAACTCTAGGTAGGGCTTGCTAGTTCCTGTTCTCTGTTCCAGCTCTATTATCAGATAATATGCAGTACGTGCCGCCTATAGGATTAGAACTCTAGGTAGGGCTTGCTAGTTCCTGTTCTCTGTTCCAGCTCTATTATCAGATAATACGCAGTATGTGCAGCCTGTAGGATTAGAACTCTAGGTAGGGCTTGCTAGTTCCTGTTCTCTGTTCCAGCTCTATTATCAGATAATACGCACTATGTGCAGCATATAGAATTAGGGCTCTAGGTAGAGATCGCTCGTTACTGTTCTCTGTTCCAGCTCCTTTATCATATAATACGCAGTGTGTGCAGCCTGTAGAATTAGAACTCTAGGTAGGGCTCACTAGTTCCTGCTCTCTGTTCCAGCTCCTTTATCAGATAACACACAGTACGTACAGTCTGTAGGATTAGAACTCTAGGTAGGGCTCACTAGTTCCTGCTCTCTGTTCCAGCTCCTTTATCAGATAACACACAGTACGTACAGTCTGTAGGATTAGAACTCTAGGTAGGGCTCACTAGTTCCTGCTCTCTGTTCCAGCTCTACGCCAAGCTGCAGGCTGTGAAGGGAGAGATACAGGATCAGCACGATGAATATGTGCGAGTGAGACAAGACCTAGAACAGGCTCAGAATGAACAGACCCGGGAGCTCAAATTCAGGTAAATCCTAAATTCCATCTATACCCCTATGTGTGGTGCAATGAAACATATTCCCATGTCATGTAAAGAAATCGAATGGCTTTAAAAATCACTTAATAACCCTTAAATGAACATATCCACCCCATAATAATTTAATAATCCTTAAATGAACATTTCTACCCCATAATAACCCTTTAATGAACATTACCACCCCATAATAATATAATAACCAGTGAAGTGGTTATGGTGGCTAATGGGTATCCTAACTGTTTTTTTTTTTTTTTTTTTGCTGGGACTCATTTATTGCATTTTCTCCTTTCTCTCTAGATACCTGATTATTGAGAATTTCATTCCTCCGGAAGAGAAGAATAAGATAATGAACAGACTTTACTACGATTCCGAGGAGGATCAGTGGAAATTTCAGCCGCTCGTCCCACCGGGAAAGTAAGTTTTCAGGACATCTACGTCACTGGTAGTGTATAGGGATTTTGGCAGACGTGAAATAAATACATATTTAAACTTTGTTGCAGTATGGAAATATTTACATGTATGTACATTGTATGATTTATGAAGTGTTCTCTAGAAAACCAAAATAAAATATACATCAATATCATCAATAATATAATCCGTTCAAGTCATATGCCACAAACCAGGCCTGAAATGTACTCACCACAGCAAAGATTTGGGTTTACAGAGTGGATTGCTGACTATAGATACATTTGTAATCTATTCACTGACTTAAATGTTAGTTTATTTGAAATTAGAGAACTAATACGTTACTGACTTCAGTGTGATTCATTGACTTATTTAGTTTATCCACAACATATATGAGGAGGAGAGAGGAACTTACTTGTGATCTCTTAGCCTCTATATTTGTCTGGGAGGCTTGCAGGTACCAAGTGCACAATGCACACATTAGGTGAAGGACAGCAGTGATTTCACATTTCACACTTTGTACAGAGACTTGTTAAATAGTAATATAGGTCAAAAAAGACTTTGTTCTGCACTATATTCTGTTAGCCCTCACAGTGCCGGCAAGTCATGCAGCTTCCCAAAAGTGGGAAAAAAAAACAAGATTTCCAGTGAGAAACTAGAAGGTAAAGGGTTAATCATCCAGAGTTGCTGACCAATTCTGAAACCATCCCTGCCAAGTCCCCGGTTTATTGCAGATATCAGCTGTGTGGCTATCATTGCAATAAGCTGCTGCCTACAAACACAGGGCCAGTGGCGGTCCATGGCTCACTCTTCAGAGATGACTTTCCACTGGCCGTATCTTATCATAGATAGCAGACGAGTGGATATTCTGATCATTCATTTTACAGCACAGTCCCCCAGACTTAGGATAATTCTTTCTTTCTGCTCTTTAAATGTTTCTTGTGTCCATTCCTCTTCAGTGGTAACCAAGGTGGGAGCACCATGAAGAGGCGGCCATTGTCCGCGGTGGGGTACAAGAGACCAATCAGCCAGTATGCCAGGGTTGCCATGGTGATGGGGTGTCATCCCAGGTACCGGGTGAGTTACCACTGATTAAATGTTTCATGTTAAGAGACAAAACTGTAGGATGGTGATAAAGAAAGATGTCTGCTGATGTTCCTCATTCAGCTAGGTGGAGGAGCTGAGCACATGTCATAGAATTTTCATTTTTGGAAGAGGTGCTGCTAGGTCCATATGATGATAGAAATTGTGGCTTGTCCCACTTTAAAGAATACATCAAATTAGTGCATTTTCCAGGCCCTTATATTTACCAATTTTCTCTATTCTGCCCCATCAGCCTGTTCTTAAATCCCACCTGCCCCTTCCTTTTAGGTTTTTGTTTTTTTTATGATATCAGTTTAACTCCATTTGGGGATGTGGGTAGCCAGAATAAATTTTGCTTATTTTTCTGTGAAATTTTTTTAAAGGCTGAGAATATTATGTTCCTTGAGCTTGATCTGACACCTCCGGCTGTGTTTGAGATGGACTTCTCCAGAGAGCGAGCAGATCAGGACCCCCGAGCTGTACATCTGGAGAGGTTGACCCGCTTAGACAGTCTCATGGAACGTCCCGCTGCAGCCCGAGTCCGGAAATCAAGGTCCTGGTAAGTCCCATTCTGCATTGTTCTCTTATCACCAATAACCATTTTCCTGTCCAGGACGAATTTCAGATCCTGGTGAATCCCGTGCTATCGTTCTCTTAAACCAGTGATACTCAGCCTTGACACTCAGCTAGACTTAATTTCCTAAGATGCCCGACCAGCTTGTCTTAAACCATCCATTGGTCATGTAAGGTACTTGGTGAATGTCCAACCAAGTAAAACTTGGACTGGCCTCCAAGGCCTCAGTGAGTTTAAGGTCCTGGTAAAAAATATTCAGTGGTTTCATTGACGTAAATCTTCTGCCAGTAATACTTATATTTAATAGTTTTTATGAATGCATACATTTTTAATTGGAATATCTTTGATATTTATTTAATTTAAATAGATTTTTTCCAATTATTTACAGTAATAAAGCACACAAATTGGTGCAGAAACATAAAGGTAGATACAATACATTAGTAAGACAGGAGACAGTAACAGACATTTTTGGACAAGATCAAATGTGTGAAGCATCTGAATGAACATAAGCATAAAGAAGAGGGGAAAGAAAGCCATTATTATTAAATGTTTCTGGATAAGTCTTTCCTCTCTATTATCACTTGGTTGGGTACATGACATCAGATAAAGTGCTGTATATTATTTTTATTATTTTATTATTATTATGAACAGAGAGAATTCTGAGTATCATGATAACAAACTTGTTTTTGGAGTGTTTCCAGTGGGAAAGGAGATAGGATTGAGTTGCATGGGTGTTGTTTAAAGATTTTACTGAGTCTGATTTACCGAAATCTGTATTTGTTTTAAATGTAGACACCAGAGAAGTCTGACAGAGGATCTCTGAACATTTATTTTGGTTCCTTCAAAAAACCCATTATAAATAATTCCCTCTAACTTTTTATGGTACTGTGTTACGAATAACTATCTCCAAATATAAATTCCATTCTTCTGTTTCCAGGTGTCAGCAGGCTCGCCTCCTCCCGTCATCAACCACCCATATCTCATTGTCCTCCAGCAGCCAACGGCGCCCTTTGTCACCTACCCATGAGTGACGCCTGCCATCCCTTCACAGCTCCAGCCAAGCGCACCACCTTACGCCATGCTTCGCATCCAACTTGGCCATGAAGTAGCCACTGGTATCTCACAACTGTTACCTCCGCCTGGAGCTGGCAGCTCAACCGAGGACGATAGGAGCAGTTATACTTGAGGATTAAGATTAACCTTATTTATTTATTTATTATTTATTTAAATAGTCCCTGCCACCATTTTACAGCACTTTGGGTTTTTGATGGCTGGTATAAGGGCAATCACTGTTGTGTCTTGCATCTCCCTGGCAACCCAGAAGATTTTATTGTTGGAAGAAGAGTTTGCAATCTGTTGGCTGTTTATCTTTTTTGTCCATGGGAGTGTACACTTTGCGGGCTATGCCAGTGGTGATGTTAGTCCCTGTATTCTATCGGTGAAGTGGAGCTCAGTGATATATGTCTCTACATTGCAATTCCAGTCGCTCTGCTCACCACATAATCAATTTATTGGTGTATCCGGCCGAAAATTGTATATCTTCAGCTCCTTCTGGTATAAACACCCCAACACTGCTACTCTCTTCTCTTCAGGATTATGGCTAGTGATGTATGTAGCAGAAGGCACAGACGGCTATGAATCCCTCCCTTTTAACTCCTCCGTTAGGTCAGATAACAAGATTGTGGCTCAAAAGTCAAACTTCCAGTGCCTTATCGTAAAGGCTTATCACCATACAACATACCACATCTGATGACTTTATTATCATTATTATAAGAAAGAACGATTTTTACACCATGTTATCGTGCACGTTATGTGGAGGAAAATAAATCTTGACCAGGAAGGATTCTACTTAATAATCTGCGGACTTTTGTCAAGTTCAGAAATCATTAATGGCAACAATAACTATAATAATTGTAACAACTTTAAATTTGACTCAAATTGTAAAGCCGTGCTTGGCCAATGTGAATTTCTCTGCTTATAATGTGTCTTTATAACCACTTTATCACCACCATTAGGTAAATCCCCCGTCATTATGACCGTCCTGACATATAACTGAAAAGCTTAACTCCAATTCTGCTCTTGCTGTTACTAGGGTGTCTTATTTTGCTTGGGTGGAAATAATTAGCAGATAATTCTCTTGTTCCTTCAGGAATACTGGACTTGCAAGAAATATGGATTACAGTTTAGTCAATCGAAGGTCGGATTAAGGATGGGAGAATGGACATTCAGCCCGTTAATGGCACAAGTCATCCCTCAATTCATTACTGCAAGGGGTGAAATTATTGATATCCTTAGTGCACATGGTGCGCCCCATATCCAGATCCCATGATACCGGTCACCTAAACAATAGCACATAGCACCATCATAACACAGCTTGACTGGAGGGGCAATGTTACTAGGAACAGTTTGCTTGACTTTCATTTTATACTTGAAGCTGATTTTTTTTTTTTTATCTGACCTCTAGAAAACTATAGGAATCTTGAATGGGGTTGTTGGTTCCACCCTTTATTTTTTTGCAGGCCCAAGAGACGCTTAAGAAGTCCGTCTATGCTAAGCAAGTCATGCTGGGAATTATTTGTGAGCTCTCACCCGGTGCAGCTCACACGAGCGAGTTGATGGGGTTATAAAATAATCGTCTGTGAAGGTTATTGTGAAAATGTCACATTGTGCAATAATACTGAGTATTTCTATGCAGTTTTAAAAGTCTACCGCTTGTTTAAAGAACAGCGCGCAAAGGGTACTGTTCTTATCATGATCAGCCTGTGCCACGGTCTTGCTTACCACTCTCAAATTATGCTAAAAATGAAGATTTCTTCCCATATTCGTGGTTTCTCTGTGTATTGTTTGGGAGCGACGTGGAATTTTAGTATCAGCCGGCCAGTGAGGTCAATGAGTGAGTTTATGATGTCACATTTTGAGAAGTCTCACAGTTTGGTGGCACTGCCCCCAGTATGTTCATATTTCGGTGGAATTAAGAGATGGTTCCTTGGAGGGGGGGATAAGTTGCTCCCTTTCCCAACACATTCACAGCCAGGTAGCTTCGTTTACTTTTGCAAACTTTCACCACTTGTCAGTTTGGGTTTTAATTTGGTGTCTATGTAGAAAGCGAAGCACTGTATATCCCATGATGCTCAGGGGCCTGAAATAAGCTCAAATATTGACACTTTATGTGAGCAAAAGGGGGAGCTTCACCCAGAGATCCAATAAACAATATAAGAAATAAAATATTAATATGTTACGCTAGCACTTCCTCTGGTTGTCCTATTATTGTTTGGTATTAGTTTTCCGTTCACCAGAAAATTTCTATCTAAAATAGTTTTTTATGTACAAATCTATATAACACGAGCTTTGTCCAAAGAAACATCCCCTTCCATAATGTGAAGCTGAGAACACTCTGGCTTCAGGAAGGCAACCTTCATCAGAACATCACACAAATACCTTGAGGTATGTTCACTAAATTCTGGGATAGTAATCTGCCGATTGATTTAATGCAGCAAATCTTCTAGAACTAATTCCATCATGACCAACCACCAGGTGGAACATCAAGTGAGCTTCTCCCTAGAGTTATCACAATACTGAATGAATATGCCAATAGTCCTGACAGAAACAGACTCACATCTAAAAGAGACCCACACTCCTGCCAGAAACCAACACACATATAAAAGAGACCCACACTCCTGCCACAAACCGACTCACATCTTAAAGAGATCCACACTCCTGCCAGAAACCAACACACATCTAAAAGAGACCCACATTCCTGCCAGAAACTGACTCACATCCGAAAGAGACCCACACTCCTGCCAGAAACCAACACACATCTAAAAGAGACCCACATTCCTGCCAGAAACTGACTCACATCCGATAGAGACCCACACTCCTGCCAGAAACCGCCTCACATCTTAAAGAGACCCACACTCCTGCCAGAAACCAACACACATCTAAAAGAGACCCACACTCCTGCCAGAAACAAACTCACATCTTAAAGAGATCCACACTCCTGCCATAAACTGACTCACATCCGATAGAGACCCACACTCCTGCCAGAAACTGACTCACATCTAAAAGAGACCCACACTCTTGCCAGAAACCGACTCACATCCAATACAGACCCACATTCCTGACAGAAACCGACTCACATCCAATAGAGACCGACACTCCTGACAAAAACCGACTCACATCTAAAAGAGACCCACACTCCTGACAGAAACCGACTCACATCTAAAAGAGACCCACACTTCTGACAAAGACCGACTCACATCCAAAAGAGACCCACACTTCTGACAGAGACCGACTCACATCCAAAAGAGACCCAAACTTCTGACAGAGACCGACTCTGTGTCTGTATCACCGTCTGCGGTATACACTGTATCTGTATTATTGGCTTCGGTATACACGGTGTCTGTATCACTGTCTGTGGTATACACTGTGTCTGTATCACCGTCTGAGGTATACACTGTGTCTGTATCACCGTCTGAGGTATACTCTGTGTCTGTATCACCGTCTGCGGTATACACTGTGTCTGTATCACTGTCTGCAGTATACACTGTGTCTGTATCACCGTCTGTGGTATACACGGTGTCTGTATCACCGTCTGAGGTATACACTGTGTCTGTATCACCGTCTGCGGTATACACTGTGTCTGTATCACTGTCTGCGGTATACACTGTGTCTGTATCACCGTCTGCGGTATACACTGTGTCTGTATCACCGTCTGCGGTATACACTGTGTCTGTATCACCGTCTGCGGTATACACGGTGTCTGTATCACTGTCTGCGGTATGCACTGTGTCTGTATCACTGTCTGTGGTATACACTGTGTCTGTATCACCGTCTGCGGTATACACTGTGTCTGTATTGTTGGCTGCGGTATACACTGTGTCTGTATCACCGTCTGCGGTATACACTGTGTCTGTATCACCGTCTGCGGTATACACTGTGTCTGTATCACCGTCTGCGGTATACACTGTGTCTGTATCACCGTCTGCGGTATACACGGTGTCTGTATCACTGTCTGCGGTATACACTGTGTCTGTATCACTGTCTGTGGTATACACTGTGTCTGTATCACCGTCTGTGGTATACACTGTGTCTGTATCACAGTCTGCAGTATACACTGTATCTGTATTATTGGCTTCGGTATACACGGTGTCTGTATCACTGTCTGTGGTATACACTGTGTCTAAATCACCGTCTGAGGTATACACTGTGTCTGTATCACCGTCTGAGGTATACTCTGTGTCTGTATCACCGTCTGCGGTATACACTGTGTCTGTATCACTGTCTGCTGTATACACTGTGTCTGTATCACCGTCTGCGGTATACACGGTGTCTGTATCACTGTCTGTGGTATACACTGTGTCTGTATCACTGTCTGAGGTATACACTGTGTCTGTATCACCGTCTGCGGTATACACTGTGTCTGTATCACCGTCTGCGGTATACACTGTGTCTGTATCACCGTCTGCGGTATACACGGTGTCTGTATCACCGTCTGCGGTATACACGGTGTCTGTATCACCGTCTGCGGTATACACTGTGTCTGTATCACCGTCTGCGGTATACACTGTGTCTGTATCACCGTCTGCGGTATACACTGTGTCTGTATCACCGTCTGCGGTATACACGGTGTCTGTATCACCGTCTGCGGTATACACTGTGTCTGTATCACCGTCTGCGGTATACACTGTGTCTGTATCACCGTCTGCGGTATACACTGTGTCTGTATCACCGTCTGCGGTATACACTGTGTCTGTATCACCGTCTGCGGTATACACTGTGTCTGTATCACCGTCTGCGGTATACACTGTGTCTGTATCACCGTCTGCGGTATACACTGTGTCTGTATCACCGTCTGCGGTATACACGGTGTCTGTATCACCGTCTGTGGTATACACTGTGTCCAAGTTTTACTTGGTTGGACATTCACCAAGTACCTTACATGACCAATGGATGGCTTAAGACAAGCTGGTCAGGCATCTTAGGAAATTAAGTCTAGCTGAGTGTCAAGGCTGAGTATCACTGATTTAAGAGAACGATAGCACGGGATTCACCAGGATCTGAAATTCGTCCTGGACAGGAAAATGGTTATAGGCGATAAGTTAATCCTTTGAAGTGACGTTTGCGCACTATCACTATCTCCCGTTGAGTGGCAGGATACGGATCTATTGCCAGTGTTATTTTTAGATATTTAATCCTACTCTCTGCACCGGTGCCGATGGGCAGCTCATTCTCCCAGATAATACTCATTATTTTATCAAAGCTTGCACATGCTGGGGTTTCTCATCTCACGCACACGATACTAAAATTAATAGATTACATGAAAAGGAATTCTAACAGGAACGATGTGATTTAGTTTTCATTTGTTTTTTTCTCCTAGTTTGTTGCCACTTGCCTGTTTTATACCTGTATAAAAACGTTCTGTGATCTCATAGACACATATTTCCTATTCTGTTATGGCAGCTATTTACTGACAAGGGACAAAATGTAATATTTTTGGCTAAGCATTTCATTGGAACTGTGAAGCTGCCCTGGAGAAGGCTGACTCAGTGAAATATACTCCATTATAAACCCATTCTTTCTTGACTCAGTAATAACGATCAGATCTTGGATCAGGAAGCAGTCGTTGACCTGATTACTGATTAAGGAACAGCGCACACATAGAAATACAGTTTTACATTTTATGAGTCTACTTGAAATCAGCTATCTCAGCAAACTAATATAGGGATTCAGTTCCACCATGTAGCCATATTGTGTTAAGCCCAGGATTTCTTCACAGTATTCCAATATCAGTGGGTCCTAGCCCACCACTACTTTACGGTACCCCAATATCAGTGGGTCCTAGCCCACCACTACTTCACTGTACCCCAATATCAGTGGGTCCTAGCCCACCACTGCTTCACAGTACCCCAATATCAGTGGGTCCTAGCCCACCATTGCTTCACAGTACCCCAATATCAGTGGGTCTTAGCCCACCACTACTTTACAGTACATCAGTGGGTCCTAGCCCACCACTACTTCACAGTACCCCAATATCAGTGGGTCCTAGCCCACCACTGCTTCACAGTACCCCAATATCAATGGATCCTAGCCCACCACTACTTCACAGTACCCTATTATCAGTGGGTCCTAGCCCACCACTGCTTCACAGTACCCCAATATCAGTGGGTCCTAGCCCACCACTGCTTCACAGTACCCCAATATCAATGGATCCTTGCCCACCACTACTTCACAGTAACCCATTATCAGTGGGTCCTAGCCCACCACTGCTTCACAGTACACCAATATCAGTGGGTCCTAGCCCACCACTGCTTCACAGTACCCCAATATCAGTGGGTTCTAGCCCACCACTACTTCACAATACCCCAATATCAGAGGTCCTAGCCCACCACTACTTCACAGTATTCCAATATCAGTGGGTCCTAGCCCACCACTATTTCAGAGTACCCCAGTATCAGCGGTCCTAGCCCACCACTACTTCACAGTACCCCAATATCAGGGGTCCTAGCCCAAGACTACTTCACAGTACCCCAATATCAGTGGGTCCTAGCCACAGACAATTACATCATATTTATAGTAGTAATGTCACATCCTCCCTTATTATCCATAAATCCTCTAAAGTGGAAAAATGCATTATAACAACCCAAGCACTATTCTATAAAACCATCATAACATCCCAAGTACTATTCTATAAAACCATCATAACATCCCAAGTACTATTCTATAAAAACCATCATAACATCCCAAGTACTATTCTATAAAAACCATCATAACATCCCAAGCACTATTCTATAAAAACCATCATAACATCCCAAGTACTATTCTATAAAAATCATCATAACATCCCAAGTACTATTCTATAAAACCATCATAACAACCCAAGTACTATTCTATAAAAATCATCATAACAACCCAAGTACTATTCTATAAAACCATCATAACAACCCAAGTACTATTCTATAAAACCATCATAACATCCCAAGTACTATTCTATAAAAATCATCATAACATCCCAAGTACTATTCTATAAAAATCATCATAACATCCCAAGTACTATTCTATAAAACCATCATAACATCCCAAGTACTATTCTATAAAACCATCATAACATCCCAAGTACTATTCTATAAAAATCATCATAACATCCCAAGTACTATTCTATAAAAATCATCATAACATCCCAAGTACTATTCTATAAAACCATCATAACATCCCAAGTACTATTCTATAAAAACCATCATAACATCCCAAGTACTATTCTATAAAACCATCATAACATCCCAAGTACTATTCTATAAAAATCATCATAACATCCCAAGTACTATTCTATAAAAATCATCATAACAACCCAAGTACTATTCTATAAAACCATCATAACAACCCAAGTACTATTCTATAAAACCATCATAACATCCCAAGTACTATTCTATAAAAATCATCATAACATCCCAAGTACTATTCTATAAAAATCATCATAACATCCCAAGTACTATTCTATAAAACCATCGCAACATCCCAAGTACTATTCTATAAAACCATCCTTAACATCCAAAATTTTATTCTATAAAAATCATCATAACAACCCAAGTACTATTCTATAAAACCATCATAACAACCCAAGTACTATTCTATAAAAACCATCATAACAACCCAAGTACTATTCTATAAAACCATCATAACAACCCAAGTACTATTCTATAAAACCATCATAACATCCCAAGTACTATTCTATAAAAATCATCATAACATCCCAAGTACTATTCT